AAAAGGACACACTGATGCCCCCGGAGGTTCCGGGAAAATCCTTCCAATGGTGGAGGGTAAAAGTGCCCCTAGTCGATGGACGGTGGTGACCTGGGATAAAGTTGACCTGCAAGCTGATCAGGAACGGAGTTAAGCCGCCGTTGCTCCGGCAGATTCCGTTGGATGCGGATGGTGGATGGTGAATCTGAGCGATCCACTGAGAAGTTGGCTTAGGTTACTGGATGAGGGTGCCCCGAAATACCGGGGAAAGAAGGGTCTGCCGGGTAGCGACCACAGGGTGAAGGTATGACCCCCCTGTCCCAAACATCATATATACAGCAGCACCTACTCAATGTGTCAGCCTTGTAATATGGCAGAACGGTAGGGCACGTACATCTTACTCTTGTCGCATGAGGCCATGGATTGCTGCGTCAACATTTGCATCTGGCGGTTTAGCCACCCGCCGCACATTGACCTCACGTTTGTGCATCACTACAACCGCATTTCCCCTGCCTTGCCCGCCTTCCTTCCTCTCAAATCTTCTTGCAGTGGAAGCTGCCAGCGCATTGAGCCCCAAGCCCACAGCCAGCTCCAAGCCTGCCCATAGCCCTGAGCCTGCCCATAGCCCTGAGCCTGCCAAGAGCCCTGAGCCGGCCAAGAGCCCCAAGCCAGCCAAGGGCCCTGAGCCGGCCAAGAGCCCCAAGCCAGCCAAGGGCCCTGAGCCTGCCCATAGCCCTGAGCCAGCCAAGAGCCCTGAGCCGGCCAAGAGCCCTGAGCCGGCCAAGAGCCCTGAGCCAGCCAAGAGCCCTGAGCCAGCCAAGAGCCCCAAGCCTGCCCATAGCCCTGAGCCTGCCAAGAGCCCCAAGCCCAGCGGCGGCCGCAAGCTCGGCCGCTCCCTGTGTAAGTGTTGGAATGCGCGAGCAACCACCAATATTTCCTGACTCACATCGACTCTCAAAGCTTGCGTAAATACAGGGATATGTAATAAGCAGGAGTAAGACACGACTGCCCACGCAGAAGCGCTGCCTGGCTCTGCTGCATATCCTTAGCGGAGATCAAATAGATATTGCTCGGTCCTTCCCTGCATGTGACGCCTGCCGTGGTACCCGCTGCACATCCAGCCATGCGCTTGTATGTGCCTCATCACCCGCCTCCCTCCTCCTTTTGCCCTTCCTCCTCCTGTGATGCAGTGGAAGCTGCCAGCACATTGAGCCCCAAGCCCACAGCCAGCTCCAAGCCTGCCCATAGCCCTGAGCCTGCCCATAGCCCTGAGCCTGCCCATAGCCCTGAGCCAGCCAAGAGCCCTGAGCCTGCCCATAGCCCTGAGCCAGCCAAGAGCCCTGAGCCTGCCCATAGCCCTGAGCCAGCCAAGAGCCCTGAGCCGGCTAAGAGCCCCAAGCCAGCCAAGAGCCCTGAGCCAGCCAAGAGCCCTGAGCCAGCCAAGAGCCCCAAGCCTGCCCATAGCCCTGAGCCTGCCCATAGCCCTGAGCCAGCCAAGAGCCCCAAGCCAGCCAAGAGCCCTGAGCCAGCCAAGAGCCCTGAGCCAGCCAAGAGCCCCAAGCCTGCCGAGAGCCCTGAGCCTGCCAAGAGCCCCAAGCCCAGCGGCGGCCGCACATCTGGCCGCTCCCTTTGTAAGTGTTAGATAACATAATAAATGAATGCACCGCATGTGCTATATGACCAAGCAGATTCAAGCTTGGCCGTACCCATCTGTATGATTATCTGTCGTCGCATGTTGGACAGTGATGAATGCACTTGTCTCCGTATATCCATCTGCGGGGCTTATGTATGTATGCATGGCAAGTATTCAGTGGGTGAACGACATCATCATGCATGCAGCACGTGGTTCCATTGGCATCCGCTGGGAACACTGTTTGGCGCATGTATGCGTATACTAACGTGCGTGCGATGCTTTGATTGCGAGCTGTGCAGTTTCTGCCACGTGCCCCGCTGATGTATTTCCCAGGGAAGCGCCATGTATTGCGTCCCTACCTGCTGTACATGTGGCCACACGTCGATATGCGTGCATGCATACCTCGGCATAGGTTCCCGCCTGACTCGCAATTCATCACCAGCTGTATGCATTTGTAGCCCGCCTGATAATCTATTCCATACGCTGCCACATCGCATGTCTCTCCACGAATAGTGGCGGCTGCTGTGACGGCGTCGAGCCCCAAGCCGGCTGGCAGCCCCAAGCCAGCCAAGAGCCCTGAGCCAGCCAAGAGCCCTGAGCCAGCCAAGAGCCCCAAGCCTGCTGAGAGCCCCAAGCCCGCTCAGAGCCCTGAGCCTGCTAAGAGCCCCAAGCCGGCTGAGAGCCCCAAGCCTGCCCACAGCCCTGAGCCGGCGAAGAGCCCCAAGCCCGCCCATGGGTAGCCCCAAGCCAAGCCGTCCTCAAGAGTGAGCGAAGCTTAAAGAAATGCACTGACTCGGCAAAATAAAACATGGCAAGCTGGAGGGCATGTATTTCTGTCCATATTAGTAATCAGCAGTCCTATTCGCTCTGGCATGCACGGATGCGTGATGTAGGGTAGTGCCGGCATGCAAGTCATAGCAGCATAGCTTTACATGTTAGTGTCAATCGTATCGCAGGGCTGAAGAGCACTAGCAGTCTGCGTGGTCGCCCTACTACGGAGCCCCTCTTTACCTGTATCTGTGTTTTGGGGGCGCGTACCCAGAATCTGTGCTCGCTGCTGTTGGCTTCCGAAGCTTGTAGGATCCAAGGGGAAATGTTATTCGACTCGCTTTTGACGCATTGCGTCGTTGCGCCGCCGTTGTGTGCCTCCAGGGAAACCAACCTAGCGAATTGCAACCTTCGTACATTGCTTCGTATGTACGGCAGGGCTCAGCGAGCGTTTGTTGGGATGAGGCGTACTTATTGGGCGCACTTTCCAAGCATCTTGTGCATAGAGGATTCCTGCGAGCCTGTTAATTTGACCAAGAACGCTGTGTTTTACGAAATGTGCGATGAACGACCTGTGTGATGAACGACCTGTGCGTACAATTCTTTAGGATGACTTCTCTTTTTTGGATTCCATCTATCTACTGTCCGACGTTGAAAGTGATTGGTTTGTGTACCCATAGAATTTCTTTCCATCTTTTAACGCCTATCCATGCTGATCGCCAGCTAGTAGCAAGTAGACTGATGTAGGCGGTAGCTGCTTTGTGGAATAGGATGTGTGCCCGCGCCGTGCCTATCCTGCGCGCGTGCCTATTAATTTCAGCGCATAGACGAGGTTAAGATGCTATTTCATTTACTTTTTAAATAAGAAATCGGACAGCAGCGGGCCCGGTACGCCGCTGCTGCATGTAACATTTTCGATCGGAACGTGATGAAGGCTTTATTTTGCGCCCAGACTCAATCTCGCTTTTATCCCAGATGATCATTTGATGAGCTTACACCCTCAATGCAAAATTATTCAGCGAACAAGTAATTCGCTCCGTGCGTCACGAGGCAGCCAGACATGATGACGGTCATGCACGTCAGCTTACACGTTAACACGACGGATGCGATTCATCATGCATAGGAAAGGTTAAACAAGGTCAAATCCCTAAGGTTAACAGGGTTACATTAATTCACAAATCAAAGGCTTGCGTTCTTAGCACATCTTAGCTATGCCGGCATGCAGGCACTCTTAAGCAAAACAATATGCTCACTCCTAAGCGAACCTCTACTTCCTCTTGCTGACACCAAACTAAAGAAGTCAAAGCCCGACACCACCACACACGCTAGTACGCCGTCGCAGGCAGGTCTAAGCAAGCGCACGCCTGCTGCATGTGAGTCATCATTAGCCACACCCACTACATACCCAGTTGCCAGAACTCCCTTCTGCCTGCCAGCCTGCCTGTCGACTTAACGGCTTGCCTGTTGCTTGCCATCCTGCCGTACATGCATGACCAGAGGCTGCCTGTCCGGATGGTCCAGAAATGGAGAACTACTACTACTAGCAGCATGGTGTCCACCGACCATCGCAGCCTAAACAGGCACCTAGAGAGATTGGTGAGCTACAGTGCAGCCGTTACTTGCCTGCGTTAGACATATGTTTTTACCTAGCTGTCATGGTAAACTACAAGTAAAAATTTAAAAGGAGAGTAAAAATCTACAGCATGATGAATAGGATGAAGTCATACAAGGAAATAACGAAGCAGCATCGTCCCCAGAGTAGTGTTCGATGTCGGCGATACACATGGACAGCTTAAACGGATTAACGCAGTGTGACGGAGCAGCTGACAACCGTATACAATCTCTTGAAAAACAATTAAGCGGCTCTACCTGGATGCGCGTGCACCTTTGTGCGCTGGGAAATGCTAATTGTTCGGATACACCTAGCCGTTTGTACAGCCGTGCATTCCCCTACGAGCCCCCTACGTTGCACATACGGATTGTCGGGATTATTCTTGGGATGGATAACTGCATGCGCGCCGCCCCGAAAGAACAAAAGAAGCCATGCCCTGGCTTCCGAAGAAACAATCACGCAGGCAAGCCGAATGAGTCGTCAGGCTGGCCTGCGTGATTGGTTCTGCCTAGATCGCAGGCACAGGCAGAGGACCTCTCGTATCAGCAGCGGGAGGCAGGGCAAACTCATCAACAGTACGGCGCATTTGTGCACAATTCCCAACATGGCCATAAAACCCTTGCATGCAATTACCTATCTTTATCACGCGACCATGCATCGACATGCATCGACCATGCGTGCCTGCCGCGTCCTTAACTTCATACGACCGTCAGATCGAACTGCATGGGGTGCACTTGAGTGTCAGTTAGTTAAAACGACCGATTAAACCGAAGCCCTGTGCTGTGCCGTACAGGCGTGAACCAATCGACATACAGATGTGGCGGAAAACGCCGTACGTCTGCCGTACGCACGTGTTTTGTCGATGCTACAGTCGTATGACGCGACACCAGATAGTTCCCATCAAAGCGCTTTTGCTCTGGTTCCCACTGCCGTCGCTTGGTGATAAACGTACGTCTGCATAATATTCCTCGATTCATAGATACCCACAGAATAAAATTTACTTGCCGATCACAGCTGGTCATCCGGCTGCCAAAAGGTACTAGCACTTCCCTGGGACGTGAACCAATGAGATTCATGCACTCTGATGCACTGTTGATGACAAGCGATCCATTGAGAAGCATGTGCGTATCTGTATCGAGCGGTGCGCGACTTGTACCAAACCGAGTGCGCAACAACGAGATCCGCGGGATAATGTGTGCGGGCGTGGGAAATGGGCTGGTGCGTCACTGAGATGAAATGGATGCAGCTTCCATGCAGGCGGCCTGGACCTATCGTGCGACGTTCATCAATCGACTTTCCGTTCAACACTCTTTCCAGGGGGTACGTGAGTAGCGTAGACAGGCAGGTCAAAATAACTGTATGATGGTTAGCAGCCAGTGCCGCGTGTAAGGACCAAGTCGAAGCGTGTCTTCGTGCAAAGAGACCAACCGCATAACGCTCGGTACTGGAGCGCCACAACTGCTGTGTCCATAGCGAAGCAACTCTGTTTGTATGTACGTACGTACGTTTGTACGTGTGCGTGGGAGGGCATCAAACCGTCCGCGGCAGGCGGATGCGTACACAATACGCCAGTCAGCGAGGTCAGCGGCGTCAGATGACCGACGGCATACACGCGGAGGAGTTGGAGGGCACGCCGGGCGGACAAGGAGGCAAGATCAGAAGGTTTCCAAATAGTTATATGTTAGCTAGGTAACACAGAGCCAGTGAAAAAAGGGACTCCAGCAGCATAGGTACCCGGGATAAACCATAGTAAGGTGGGAGTCTAGTTTTTATGTTAGCCTCTAGTGCAGTGCACGGCCAGCTGGCCCGCTGGCTCTACTCTTCGTGAGTCTGGAGCCCACTGTAGCAACCACAGTAAGAGCACTTGGAGGACGAGGCATAGACGAACCCTCGATAACGGATACCAGCGGTGTGAGTTATCAGTTATTAGGCTGTCGGAACGCACCCGCAAGGGGACGAAACACAAGACAGGGTGAAGAAATAAAACGGCCGTTATCCATCTAACACGCTCAAAACATATAGGAGCGTACATGCGGCGCAATAGCTTTTTGCGCACCTCAAAATCTGTTTCAAAGCGAAGCTGCCACAGAAGCCCTGAGCAGTGTGTACGTAAGGCGGGAAATATCGATTGAACAATTAGGGTGGCATGTACTTTTTTTATGGGATTGTGCGGCGATTTAGGTGGGTATGCGAGAGGCGTACAAGTGTCAGGCAGGCCAGCTTGGCAAGTGTAGAGCGCGCGGCACTCAGAGCCGGCAATAAGGGAAGCAAATGAAACGTGCATGAAGGAGAACACAGGCCTAGCGACTTACGTCCGAAGTTGCTTTCTGTCCATTCTTTCTTTTCCATTATTGATGTTTATGCCTAGCTAGAGCTCTCTAGATGGACCATGGGCAGGTATTTCCTTGCTTAACCAGGTTGCATGTAATGTTGACTTACATGCAACATTATTATTGTTGGGAACCTTCATGGTACTGGAAAGGACGCCCATTTTGTCCATGCTGTCATACGAGGCGCAGATTCCCTCGAGGTTGAGTGAGGGAGAGATGCCGTAGCTCGCTAACAAGTTCGCCAAACCCGTTCCCTGTGCGCGTGTGAGAAAGACAGAGCAATTAGTGCTACGACACGTTCAAGCTGCAGGCGCGGAATACAGCGGCTTAAACTAAGAGAGGTAGCTCGGGGGCCAGTTGGCGTTATTGTCGTATTCCGTGCCGATGTACGGCAGCAGGGGCTTCCTTGCAGGTGCGCGAGTATACCATAAGTACACCCAGCCCTGCCCAACGTGCGGTAATGGTGTCATGTAAAGGCATACAGACAGAAATGCATCTCAGCAAACGACAACTGGATGAAAGCCATCAGTTTACTGCCGGTATTCCCAAACACGTACTCCCGGTTGCTTCCTACTCCTCTGGCAAGACAGTCAGACGCGCATTGCCCCAGCCGCTCATTAACGGGTGTGTGCACAGGATCCGTTTACATGTACGCATATACAATTGTCGGTAGCTTACCGTTATATTCTGCAGCATCTGCCTGATGTCCACTGTAACGTTGATGCAGCCAGCAATTTGGCACTGCAAATGGAAACGCACACATACAGTTGCACGGGATGAAGGCGTGTACCACATAGTCTATCTGCACGAAAAAGGGTTTTACCACGCACGCGCGTGCGGCGTGCGTGACTGGCACGTTCAAAAGGATGCGCAGTCACAATGAATTTACGGATGTGTCAAAATGTATAGCTAGGTCTAGGCATCCATCCGCCTCCTGACCAAGTCAAGTGACGATATGGCCTAGGATGCCTTGTAATGGAAACCTTATTACGGCACCTAGCTGGATAGACGGTCCGTTAGCAAACGTAGCAGCATTTGGAACGCTACATCTTTGACAGCGGTGTCTCTCTCTCCGGTGGGGGATCTCGGCATCCTTGCATACCTAACGAATCTTACCGCTCGTATCTCCACTGTGGAAGTCTTCCTGGTGAGGTTCAGCTGGACCGCCATTTGACCCGTCACATCTGCATTGGGGGGCTGCACACGTGCACACGCACACACAAACATACATACATACATTGTTGCATTCATGTGCGCCACACTGCAACCTCTCTCTCTCTCTGCACGTGGGAAGCCACCTCATAATCACACGCTTCACAATCATTTTTTCATATCGCTTGGATGACCGTTGTAGCATGTAGGCCACGCACTATATCCGTACAAGCCGTACAATGGTACGTACATCGATATAGTACATTGATTATTGCCTGCGTCCAAGCTACTTACCCAAGAAAGGCGGCCTCCGCAATCGATGTTGTAGCTAAAGCGCGCATCCTGGTCGTCGGACGAGAAGGAGACTCCGCAAACATTCGACAGTGTGTAATTGCGGGTATGGCGCAGGAGGGCCCGGTTGCGGCCCTTGCCCGGTGCGAAATCCTCTTCTACCTTCGCCTCCGAATCCGATTTCGATACCGTCCCCGCCGCCAGCATAGAAGTAAGGTCCGCAGCGGTGATGCCTAGCGCACTTAGGGTGTCGCTGTTGCCCGTGCGTCTGTATGTATGCAGGCACGTACATGTAGTTTGCGTACACCGGGCGCCGTTATTTACGCAAGCATCATCGTCGCAAACAGCAAAAAGGCGGGCGGGATTGCGGTAAAGTTGTAAAAAAGGCCATCGGACTGTGCCGACCGCGTGAAAGATGAATGTGTTCGCTGTGCAGGACACCGGTGCATGGCAATGTACGGTTCTATTTACCCCGATTGCCATACATATATCGGCGCTTGTTGACAGACGAACCAAAGGAGATGAACCAAAGCTCTAATGGCCGGTGGGTAAAACCCCAAAACTGGTGCTGCGGCAGCTGCCGATGCTGCGAACTAAACACCTCGCAGGTACACATGGCGCGTGCCAGCTTGCCTACCTGGCGGTCCGAAGGATGGGCTCTAAGATCTGTTCCTGGAACTCCTGCACCGGCAGCATCAGCTCCACACTGGAGGCGCCGTTATTACTGGAACCGCGGCCACCACCTCCACCTGCTGCGGCATTTAGTGACGCTTGTGAGGGCGATGCGGCCATCCGCCCAACGGAGTACACCCCTGAGGACCTCGCCAAGGCCGTGCGCCTCTGACCGAGCTGCACGCTGCTGGTGCCTGCTCCTGCGACTGGTAGTAATGCAATCAGAGAAGGTGGAGGTGGTGGCTTCGGTGGTGGCGGCGGAGGAGACGGCGGCCCGGGGGGTGGGGGTGGCGGCGGTGGCGGTGACGGCGGTGGCCGGGGTGGCGATGGAGGTGATGGTGGGGGTGATGGGGGTGATGGTGAAGGTGGCATAGGGCTTGGTGGACTTGGCGGTGGTGGCAGTGCAGGGGGACTTGGCGGACGTGGCGGCGGGGAAGGGGATGGTGGTGGAGGGGGGGGTGCCGAGGGGACCAGCGGCTCCGGGGGAGGGCTTGGTGACGGGGGTGGTGTAGGGGGCTCAGGAGATGGTGGCTCTGGGGAAGGCGGCTCGGGTGGCGGCGATGGAGGTTGGGGCTGCGTGTGATGCGAAAGTTGGGGCGTGGTGAACAGGTTGGTTCGGCTTACGCCAACAAGCATGGGCAAGCAGTGATGGGGTCGTCAATCCGTCCTACGTAAACACGTGCCTGGAAATACTGCAGTAATCAAGCCTGCCTCTTACAATCTAATTGCATAAATAAGACACCTAAATAAGACACCTCCGCGGCGAGGCTTGATTGCGCGTTCATGTAGCGATACGTTGACAAGCTGTGAAACTAATGGGTGCATATGCACTTGCATCGAGCGCGCGGCGGCCAAATGCGTGTTTTTTTTCGTGATGATTATCGTGATCGTGATATCGTGAGTTTTGTTTCATGATCAGTAAGGTATGTGTGTACACAGAAGTACTTCCATAACGTACCGAAGGCGGATAATCCTTGTTTGAGGCCTCCACAAGGCCGGGGAAAATATCGGGGTCATTTGGATCAGCAATAACCTTGGTGTAGGAAGTGAAAAGCACGGAGTCCAGCTGATCCTCAGGCGGCGCCTCCCAGACCGGTCCTGCGAGCACGTTCGTACAGATATGTCGTCCATTCATTCATCCACTACACATACACGCATAGCCACGCATGCACGTTTGAAGATAGCTAGGTGGCTGATGGACAAATGGAACCACACAGCAAGGCCGGTGGCCGGTCATGGCTTGGACTCAATCCGTTGGTTGGATGTGCTGATTGTTAAGCAGCGAGGTTTCCACTTTGTCACACAGGTAGGGTGATATGCAGATACGTACATGCATAATTATTCAATAGATTATTATAAAAGGATATCAATCGATAATTTGTGCCTTGCTATTTAATGGATGGATGCCAAGATGTTTTCACATACATACTCCGCCTCCTCCTTTGTGACAGATGGATGCATAATGCTGAGGCGCATCTAGAGCGTGATACACCCAACTCGATAGATACTTCAATTTGCAGGCGGCGCCAAACAGAGCGACTACGCACTATACCTACCAAAGGGGCTTGTCATCGTGGGCACCTGCAAGCAATACGAATAACAACAGTCGCGCGCCGACGGGGAACGGGTAAGCAGGTAGGGAGCAATTGCAATCTAAGGTACCGAACGGGCGACATCATGAATTCTCTCTGTCGCGACACATGACCGTAGCTTGGATAAAGTACGTGCGTACGGGGAACTGCCATCTCGTCAAATCGACGGAGTGACTAGCGAAGCATCGTACAACGATTAATCATCCCTTTTTCGAACCGACGCGACTAAGGACGTGTTCACATGTAGTGTAAGTCGGTATGGTTCAGCTGAATGAGGATGTGGATTGGGGTCAATTTTCCCCCCCAGATTGGTGGGGTGGTGGGGAAATACTCGGCGGATGTAACTCGATTTAATAGCCCAAAATCAGCATGCAAGTAACCTTATAATTCTCATGTCAAAAGATGTACATAACCTGTTTGAAGTGCGCACGAGCTTACGCTGGTGAAACGCGGTCCAGGACAGCCTCGGGGGCTGTCCGTATCGTTGAAGCTCGCGGGTACGGCCAACTCGTCCTCTGGCTGCAAGATACCAGCTGCAGGCACAGCATGGCAACAAGACACGCACGAAAATCACGGGCAAATCAGATACAGGACGCTCAAGCAATGGCGAGTTGCCGTAGGCTGCCCCTCCATAGCTCGGCGCACCGCCGACAGCAAGCAGGCGGCTGGCAGAAGTTAAGGCCTGACTTCTGCTCCCGGTCGACCCGGGTTCAAATCCGCCTGCCGACCTCTCGGGTGCTTGAGAGGTGGTGAAATGGGAGGTGGCCCCCCATCTTGTGGACGGTGTAGGACGTGATAATATCATCTCGCGAGCTGACCAGGATCTAAGTTGAGGCGCCGTTGATCCGCTAGATTTGGTTGGATGCTGGTGGTAAGTTGCCAAACCCAAAGAGTACACTCTGAAGTCGGATGGGGTGAATGGCTTAGGAGCCCCTCTAGCAGGGGAGAGCAGGGAATTGCCTCGGGAAGGAGGCCACTGGTGAAGCTTAACCACCCTGTAACAACATCAGCAAGAACACCACCACCCATACCACAGCCTTCCGACCGATATACCACAAAGTAAGGCCCTCGTGCAGGAGCGCAAATGTCGACGTCTGTGGCAAATATCTGTGATGCGATTGAGATAGTTAGTTCACAGGTAGGGTCGACCATTGTTGCATGAATGAACGAACCCTTTTACAGCGGATTCCAAGGGATTGACCCGTGCCCCACACTACCGTACTCAGGACTGACTACCGATTGAACACTCGTCTGCACTGTCCTACATACGAAGAGCCGAACGCATAGCCTTATTAGGCGCCATCGACACGCGCTTGCGTACAGACCTCGAAAGCTCATGACGTGGATCTTGGAGTTTCCAGCCACCGGATGAACCATCTCGAACGCCACTACACAACGGCCGTGTACGAAAGGGCACGGGACGAAGCCAGATCAGTCGAGTCAGCAGCATGAGTGAGCAGCATTAGTTTGGACCTTGCACAACCCTAGCGAGCGTGTCGGTTAGGATACTGATTTCCCAGCATCCGGTGGTACATACATACGCCTCGGTCCTCCGTCCCGTTTATACGGTACGCACAATCAAGGCGTGTATTAATCACTACCAATAATAAGACGCGTACTGGTCTCCGTATGTGTTATGAATTGGAAACTTCCGGAGGGGTTATATTTGGCCATTCGGGTATTCCCCCTCGGACTGTTACGCTCAATGGAGCCTTCATGACTTCCCGTTGACTCCCCACAGAAAGGATGCATGAAAAAAATCCGCCGCAGCAACTACTGTATGTAATGGATGGTGCATGACAAAGGATGTGTTTTGCCACCAAACGCCGTACAGTTAATCCATTCGTGCGCACGTACCAGGATAGTTGTTTCTCGCAATTGAACAGACGCTGCCGATGTCCGACGTATCCTGCCGAAATGAAAAACGCAAACACGTTGGAGAAGGTGCGGGGGAGTTTAGCCACCCGTCAAGCGTGCGTAAGGCAGTTCCCTAGGTCCGGGCTGCTTGAATGCAAGGCGCATTCTAGTCATCACTTAAGGCGCTTTAGTATGGCACTCGGCGCGAACGCGTTTTTATTTGTTTGTTGCAAACAGGGCGCGTGTGACTCTGTGATGGCACTTCATCACTGTTTTTGTGAAAAATGCCAGTTGTGCATTGATGCCAGCATTGCCAGTTGTTCTGTAATAACCCTGTCGCAAGCAGGGGACGGATGTCGTCAACCTCAGGCACTGAGGTTACTTCGGTCGTGGGTTCTTTCCGACAGCGTCGCAACCCTGGAGTCGTATCTAGCTGGACATGTAGTGCTCACGCACCCAGAAGTCAACGTCGACCAGCTTCATGTCGTACTCTATGCTGCCGTTCTCCAAGGCATTGCTGCTGCCGGCGTCACGTTCCCGCAATACGGGCTGCCGAGTGGTAAGTCGGAAGTGGCGGGCTGGCACTCCCCGCTTCAACTCGTAACCTGGCCGTAATCCAATTATGGAAGGATTGACGCGACTAAGTAAATGAGCAGTAGATGGACGACGCGACTGCCGCTACTGCATTTCATTTCAAATTCATGAACTTTTCAGTACTAGAGATGCAATTGCAACAGCGAGGGACTCACACATTATCAAAGAAGGTCTCATGCATGGTGGCGGTACGCGTACCCTACCTAATTAGGCAGGTGTCGGCGTAACCGTTCTTACCGAGGAATTTAAATGAACGAATAGATTCACTGATGAGTGAGCGGAGGGAGTCCCCATCCCCGGCAGAACCACTCAGGTATTCGCAGTGAGTGACTCGGGTAGCCTGCGAGGGCGAGTGACCGGACGTCATGCACAGCGTGCGGGCCTTTGCTTTTCCTATGGCTGTATGTTCCTCGGTTGTATGTAATGGGCAACTCATGCACAGTGAATCGGGCAGCGCTGAAGGGCAGCAGGCGACCTCGCTCGCACAGCACGATCGAGTCGACAAAAATGAAGCAGACTACGATGACGGCATGCGCTCGCAGATCGGGCATCCTTTGGCATCCACGTGCTTCACTCGTACATCGCTTCACTCATACATCGCTTTACCGCAATACCGCATATTGGATCCGCTGTAATCACATAATCCGCGTATTGGATCCGCTGTAATCACAACCTCGCTGGAAAAACGCTTGCGTACCACACAGCAGGATCAGCCTGTTCTCACACATTGACATGGCACGGACTTGAGGTAGCTTTTGCCGTAGATGCGCACGGCAAACTCCGAAGCGACAGGATACTGTCTAGTTACCGCTACTGTTCAGGCGGCAGGCGCACATGGCTCTCTCTAAAACCGCCAACTCCATTTCTTAGTACCCACTCCTATACCCACTTACGCACACACACGCGCGCGCGCACCTGGAATAATTCTTGCCACACGAAGATTTCGCCTGATGTCTCGTTCATGAGCTCCTTGCGAACCAGGTTCGGGCCATAGTTCGGGTACTCCGTCCTGCACGTGTTTGTACATGCAACCAGGAGGTCCCGAGAGCCGCATGCAGATAATTCTTAATGTTGCGGTATGACTTGTTCGCACAAAGCACGTAGGTAGGTGGAAAGGCTGCGATTCAGCAAGCTATCATTTAATTCGTTCCCCTCCAATCCGTTCCATCCAATCGTTCCCCGTCCACTCATCAGGTCCATTCTTTCCCTGCCATTCATTCCCCTCTATTCTTTCGACCCAATCCTTCAATGCCCTTCCTTCAGATTCATCCCATCCATCCCCAGGTAGGGCTCACGTACCACCGCATGATACCTGCGCGCGCAAGCAGAGCCGTCCTCTGCCGTCGCCGCTGCTATGTACATACACCCATTCGCAACGTATACCCGTCCAACAGTCCACGCATTATAATCAAAATACGACATCCGTACTATGTATGTATCTTCACATCCTACTACATGCGTACCTAGTCACGCGCTAACTTGGAAGATATTTGCTTGACGTACGTGTTTACGTACACGTGCAGCTATGTCAATTACACTGCCCAGCGGGCTTCTGCCCAGCGGGCTTCTGCCCAGCGGGCTTCTGCCCAGCGGGCTTCTGCCCAGCGGGCTTCTGCCCAGCGGGCTTCTGCCCAGCGGGCAACTGATGAGTCCATTTGGAAGGTATGGCAACCTATCACTTGAACTACTTATTACTCACGTTGTGAGCACTACATCGTTCTGCCGAGTAACTGTCTGAATCGTTGTCATGTAGCGCACTCCGTCCAGCACAACAGTGCCTGGCCGGTCCAGGCCCGTGTCGGGGTCCAAGCAGCCATCGGCCTCGGCTGCCGTGCCGCTGCTATCCGGCAGCTTGGGGCACTCGTCGTAAATTCGCATCTTCATCTGCGCGTACAGCGCACAGATGAACACATGATGTATCGCCTGGCATTTCACGTCTGCTACGTTCGTTTCCAAGACGTATAAATGTGCTCGTACAGACGCATATGTGTTCTCGTACGTACATACATACATATGGTGGGTGAGCAGCACGCAGGCTGATACAGACCGTTGGCGTATCCAAAGAAGAGTATCCTTGTGCCCCTGCCAATCGCCAATCGATGTACTTACTTGGTAGATAGGTGCGATATTGGGCTTCGGCTCGCCGGGCGGCACATTGACAATCTGCAAAGGCGGCGACGGCATCAGCGGTAAAAAAACTGGCAACAGCCGCAGCTACATCGAGCCGCAGTCGTAGCCAAGGAGGAGCCGTACGGAGCCGTACGCGAGATTGCGAGGAATACCACCTTGAGGAGGTTGCGGTTGTTGCGTGGTACATACAGAAGATGTTATTGCTTCAGTGGCCGCGCACTTTATCCTGCCTCGCGCCACATCACAGCCGAGGACGCCGTGCCGGAGTTAATTTTCAAGCGAAGCAAGGGCACGCAGGCATACGAGGTCCTGATACATGATGGCTCCTTCTACCTGTGCCCTATCACTAGCCAGGATCAAATCCGCACGGCAGGCCCTCGCGTACCTCGATGTCCTTAATGAAATTGAAGTGCCCGGTAATACCTGGGGAGCCAAAAGACATATGCACCTTAATAAGGCTGCAGCGGGGACTTTGCAGGTAATGACATCAAAACCGAGAACAACCTTGAACGAGGCCTGCATACCCATTTATTTCTTGCTCACCGTACGAATCGCTCAGCATCCGTCTGCGGCCGCTTCCTCGCACCATGAAGCCTGCATCCCGGAAGACATCCCCAACACTGTCCTCCTGACCGAACTCGAGTTCAGATCCGTGAACCTGCCGATGTGGGTACGGGTTTGGGAGGGTCCGTCGTATTGTCACGGCTTTCATATGCATTAGTCCCCGGCTGCGTTAGACATGATAGCGGGCTTTTGCAGGTATTACAGGGTGCAACTGTACATGCTCTCTGACTTTATTGGTGCTCGTCTGTCTGTCTGTCTGTCTGTCTGTCTGTCTGTCTGTCTGTCTGTCTGTCTGTCTGTCTGTCTGTCTGTCTGACTTAGTATGTCTGACTTAGTATGTCTGACTTAGTATGTATGTATGTATAAGGGAAGGATCTTCGAAAAGCCGTAAATCGGCCAGCAGGCAAGCCAATCGGTATATAATATAATGACACCTCTTATTTATATCTATATTGTATATTACATATACGATCTATAACATCTGTATAGTATATAGTGTATTTTGTATAATGCGCGTACATATATATAGAGATACACGGGGCTCTGCAGGCGTTATCACGTGATAATGTCGCTAACACGCAGAGTTGACGACGACAGGCCCTCGATTTGATGCACTTTACCTACGAACCCACTCACACAGATACAAACGAACGAGCTAACTGTACCCACCGTCACGGTGCCGATATAGGTGACGATTCGCACCACCTCACAGCTGCTGTACGGCGCGCCCTCCTCCAGCTGGGCAGGCAGCTTGGCAACTGCCAGCACGAACAGGTTCAGGTCTGCGCCCGTGCTGCTCGAGTTAATCTGCAGCAAGTGGAGCGCGCGTGTATGAGTGCGCATATGTACCGTACCGTACCGTGCCCCGTCAGATGACTAGTGGAATGAACAAAGGACGAAAAGGAAAAAATTGGGCGAAACTAATAATGTATTTACACGAGCTGGTAGGTGAGGCCTGTAAGTTAGTCAGCAGCTAAGAGCCGTGTGTGCCTGCGACCAGACGCGATGTGTATGCATTGCGCTAGCTATGTGCGTGTGTGTATTAGGTACATGCGTCCCTCCATCCCTCCATCCCTCCATCCACAGCTAGGTACTGATGATCGGCTGCAGTGGCCCCTTACGTGCAGCCTGTGATCTTGCTGAAGCACGTGAGAAGAAGCGAGTTGAAGCATGTCTTCCTAATAGCTGCTAGCTACCGTCACCTTACGAGCGACGGAGGCACGCATCCTCACCCCCTCGATGAAGCGCACGCACGTGAACATAACAAGATTACGAAGGAAAACAAGCACATGTATACAAACGCTCAGCAGAGCACATGCCTGCACGCAACGACCAAAGCCCAAGGGAACTAACATACAAAACTAGGAACGAATAAATGCACGCATGCGCGATCAAGCACGGGCCAGCAGCACGTACCTGGATGTACCTGAGCTCCTTGAGTACCGACATGGGCAGAGCGGAGTGAAGCCCCATGGCCACAGTGCTGGCAGAGGTAGACAGCGGTACGGCGCCCGAGGGAACAGTTCCCAGAGCCGACTGTAGAGCTGCCTCAGCCGCAGCACTAGCCGCAGTGTCGTTGCTGCTTGTGCTGTTGCTGGTACTGTTCATAGGCTGGGCGGCAGTTGGAGATGGGGTAGGTGGGGGAGGTGATGGCAGTGGGGACGGTGGGCTGGCTGGAGGTGGAGATTGGGATTGTTGGGGAGATGGAGCAGGAGGTGGTGTAGATGGAGCAGACGGGGTAGATGGTGGCGCTGGTAATGGCGGCGACTGTTGAGGCGGCTGTGGCTGTGGCGACTGCTGCCCTCCCGGCGGCTGCGGTGGCAGTGGCGGCTGTTGCTGCTGCAGTATGCGGGAGAAAGCTCTGCCGCCGCTGCTGCGTGACATTTTGGATGGCGATGTGGAGGCTTTCGTTTCCGACGATAAAGCTGCGGACGACGAGCCCCCGCCAGTTCCTTCCTGGGCACGGTGCTGCTGCTGCTGCTGGGGCCAATGCGGCTCGCCAACGCCCTTATGTTGTGGCAGTGGCTCCTGATAGCCGGGTTGCTCGCGCTCGTCGGGGTACATGAGCTCTTCAAATAGGGTGCGACTTCGCCGGCCGGTTGCAGGAGCAGGTGAGGTGGCTGCGGGCGGCGGCGGTGCTTGGGAGGTTACTGGGGGCGGCGGTGCTGACGTGTTGCTGGCCGTTACTGCTACCCCGCTGCCGGATGATGACGATGATGATGAGTCGGCAGTAGAGCTGCGGCTGACCAGAACCCCTGCGTGCGTGCGTTCATGGTACGCAGTCACACGAGTACATGGATTGTGGTCAGCAAGATAAAGAATATGTCATGGTGTCCCTTTTCGATGACACCGTTACCTATGTAAGCAAACAGCAGGCACTCGATTTTGCAGTTTAACCTGTGCGCTCAACCTGAACTAAGTTATTATTCCGGTTGCATGTATGAATGGATGTTAACACCTACACAGGGCGAGGCAATTGTCTTATACAGCGAGTTTTTTTATTAACGTGGAATACCTAAGCTTGTAGCTTGCGTTAGAGTACGCGCCTTTGATAGGTAGATCCTGGACAGAAAGCTTTTCTGCTGCATATATGCAGCAGGTAGCACAGCATAATATGAGGAGTAGAGCCGCCTACTCAGGGGCTTACTTGTATGGCACTGGCATTACATGATTTATATAACCTCACAGCAGATGATGATGCATTTATGCACGCACCTGACGGTGTAACCAGGAAGTCCGCACTATATACCAGCACCGGGTTGCCCGTTTTCTTGTCGACCAGAGTACCGCCATTAAGCTTTGTGTCCTGCGCATTTCATTGTCCGGTTGCGCGTACGCGATCATCACGCGTGATGATGGGCTGGGCCTATTGGCGGGCGAATAACGCATGCATTTTCCTTGCCCCCCTTGCTTCCGCATATGCATGCGTGTGCAGAGGTGCTGTATGTAAGGTGGTTACAATGCGGGTACACTTCTCCCTGGGGTGGTGATGAGAGACGGCTCACTATTAATAAGGCAGGGAAGTAACGGCCGTTGCTCACCTTTGCAAAGTAAACGATGGCTGCGGCCATGCCAGCGAGTGCAGCAAGCAATACCAATAAAGCTATAGCCTGCAAAAAAAACAAATAATGGATCCAAGAACGACTATCGAACCAAATGAAGCAATCGACAGCATTCTCATGTGACCCCAACATATCGCAGGTTCATGGATTACATGGCTATATATCTGATAGATCCTCTAGATTTGGTCATCCATGCATCTCGGGGCATCAAAGGCTGCAGGATATGCGGATAGCAAGCAATCCCTCGCATCATCAGCTGCAGCCCCTGCTAGCTGGGAGGCGGACTTCGCAACACACGCATGTGCGTCCTTGCCCGGAAAATGTTCTCGCACGTAAAAGTGCGAGGTATTGTCATAACGCATGAGATTCCGGTAGATATTTGTCATTTTCAAAACGAAAGGAAGCTCTACACCGTTCGCGTAAAGCTTCCTTTCGTTGGCTGGGATAGGTAGGCAGGTGTGTAGCTGTGACACAAAAAATATGTGAAGCAGCAAACAAGCGATGTGCGTCGTTATTTGCATGCATCCACGCGTCCTTACTACCAGTATGAAAGAGACTTATCATACGCGCGAATCATGTGCAAGTCATACGTAAATATATGTATCTGCCGCCATAATGTCATCATACATTATGAGCGCGTGGATGGGCAAAACCGGCGACACTACATGCCTAGTACTCGTACGCTGCGGGCCGAAACATCGGCAGTCAGGGGTTAATGATATCTATCTACCTGCACAAGTACCAATGTCTTGAAGAAGGCTGACTGCGCTCGCAGACCCACTATGAGGTCCAACAGATCCGCAACCTGCGTGCGAAACAAGCAAACAGGAAACGAACATGACCCAGCAAGCACCAATATTCTTGGCTGGAGAAACTGACTTACATTTGTAGCTGCTGCACTCTGTGCAGCAGAAGAAAGGGTGCTAGTGCACGGTTCCACCCAACTGCCAATCTCACTTACACTCCCGCCCTATCTCCCTCTCTTCTCTCTCTGTGTATATAGTATATGTACACACATATACTCTCTATCTCTCTTTTTGAGCATACGAACTTTGCGAACCGGCAATAGTTATGAAGGTTCGTCCTGCGGGTCACATGCACATGCAAACGCACCTCCGATTTGTCCAGCTTCCCGTCTCCGTTCTTATCTAGCTCGTCCAGGACGTCGTCTGGCTTCGTGGACTTGGGGTCCTTCAGCATCGCCTTCACCTTGGCGACCTGCTGCGGGTCCTTGGGGGCCTTCTGGGGGCTCCCTCTCGCCATGCGATGGTCTGTTACTTCCGACGTTGGCTCGCTCCCGATGCCAGCATCGCCACCACCGCTACCTCTCCCACTGCCGCTCACCGTTGCTGCATTCCTGCTGGTATTATTGTTGTTGTTGTTGTTGTTGTTCCTGCTGCTGCCGCCGACCCCGCTATCATCATCCGGAGATGATGCACCTGCAGGCCTAGCTGCAGCGGGTACCGTGACGGCCGCGGCAGGAGGTGCAGGAGCGGCTTCAGGCGCCACGGTATGCGCTGCTGCAGGTGCTGCGGCTGGAGACGCTGACTTGGGCGCAGCATCACTTGCCGCGGCGGGCTTGGCTGCAGTGGCATCCGCCGGCGTAGCTGCAGGCTTAGCTGCAGGCGCCACGTCAGGCACCGTACCAGGCACTGCAGCGGGCACCACGACAGGCGCCGCGGCAGGCGCCGTGGTAGGTGTGGCTGCAGGCTTATCAGCTTCAGGTAGAGTTGCAGGTGCAGGAGCGCGTGAGGCAGCACGTGCAGCGGCGCGTGCACCCGCAGGCGGCATGACTGCTGGCAAGGCCCCTAGCCGCTTAGAGGAGCCGCCTAGCCCATGATTAGCCGGCGCCGTTCTGTTACCTGCATACAAGATGGATTTCGACAACAACTTTACTCATAACAAACGGGTGATCAAAGGGCGCCACGTGTAACGTAGGAATGTACGCACAACATCCGCATAGCCGGCGAGCCATGCCGGTCTTCATACACAGGCGAACATGCAGCAAATGCACCTAAGGATGCTCCGGCGGACAGAGTCAAATTCAACACCAACGCCGCCACCTGAATCTATGCAGACATACCTACCTTCAGGACTAGCAGCAGGTGCATCTGCAGCGGGCGTGGGGCTGTTCTCGTCAGTCGGGACTACACGTGAGTCATTGCGCAAGAGGGGCGCCATCGTCTGGGCGCCGGCAGAGTGTCACCTGCAGGGCCACACCTGCAAGCACACCGAGGAATGGGCACGACGTGCCGTGTGCATACACATGGGCCGTGGGTGTTTCTGTAGAAGAGTAGTGAAGAGGGAGGGAAGGTGAGGGGGAGAAAGGCAAGGGAAAGAGATAGGGTACGTGCCGGAAACATCCGTAGCATGCAGGTGTTGCACGGTGGTCATCTGACGGGCCTAGTAAGAGCCATGCACGGGAAACCCAAGCTGAGGAAGCGGCCAACCATCACGAAGATCACTAACATAAGCTAGGGGTTACGTAGCTATCAGTGACGATTGGCTCAAATCGAACATAATGACATGTTTTGCATCAAGTGCGCCTTCAACGCACCAAGCCACGCAATGTACATGTACGACAGTTAGGCAATAGTCAAACAGATTACCAAACCCTACCGTCCATCTAACTAATATGTAGCGGCGGTAGTTGGCTGAATTCAGGATTGTTTTCATGCGTTAGGTCTACCTCTGCGCAGCCCGCCAAGTGGGCCGTTACGGGCTCTTGCTACGAGCAGGCGAGCGATAAAACGCATGATGAAGGTGCAAGGCTGGGTATAGCATTGATGCTATTCATCTGTAACGCAAATGACGTAGCATAGGCTATCATCTGTTTGGTACTAGCCTTCCCGCCAAGGTGGGCCGATCGGCACCGAAAAAGTGGGGCGTCACGATACCGTGCACAACGACGGCAGTAATCGTACTGCTCTAAGCTGCGTCGACGTTCTCAGCCTTTTTTCATTAACAGCTAGAGCAAGTGACAACCAGCGTGCTATAGCTGTCTGTGAGCCTTCGCGTTCACATCGCCCCTTGCTAACTAGTGCGCGGGTGGCGACCAGGTGGCCAACAACATTGACACATTCTTTTCAGTGGCGTCGGTGATTTCTCGCAGACACAAGTCTCACCAGGTAGATTCGTCCAGTAAGTTTCCTATGCCAGGAAGTTGAAAATTCCACCAACGAACAGCTCTGAACCCTTAGGGCCCAGGAAAGCGATTTAGGTATTGATAATGAGTCGGCGAAATTTTTTATAGATGATTTGGCAAGGCAGACGTATCTAAGGCGAAGTCCGATGGTCTAATGATTAGAATGACATCCTAGGGCCGATGTACAAGCAGATGCACGACAAAGGACGCATCGCCGTTCTACTTCGGGCCTACTAGCATGTCTTAGCTATAGCTCTACTTACGTTTAGGTAAAATCATGAGCTTGTCAGCTATGTCTGACTTGTACGGGCTCTCGTACCGCAAAAGAGTCACCGGCGGGCTTGTTTCAGAACGCCATTCAATCGTCCACTCTATCGGATCACATTCTCGATTTCATGTCTCTACAACTCGTCGTAAAGGCAGTCATGTAATCAACGACGATTCGTAGTCAACAAACGCAATTGCACGAATCATGTCATCCAACCACCGAATGACATTTCAACATAACCACGACGTGATGCGAGGACTGCTCGTCAGTGTAGGAACGTTAATGTCATCAAGCTGGCAAACCACGCCTGTACAGGCAAACCAAAGAGTTAACTAAATGACCCTAGGTATAAGATGAGAGATAAACAAACAGCCATGTTATATAATCTAATCTGCGTAGTCACAGGAGCAGGAACCTATACAGTTATCACAACCGTACCCAGACGCTCAAGTGTTCGGAAGCAGGGTTGACGCATCTTAACAGGCTACACGTTTAGACGAAATATTATTTGCCGAAGGTTGTGATTCATCTTACGGACTAGCAGTCTTGGATGTCCGGTACTCTAGCCATGCAGCCCTGGGAGCCTGCGAACCCTTCGTCCCTTTCCCGAACGCTTGGAGCCTAATGCAAAATGGAAGTATGTAATCCGCTCATTTTTGCCTTCATCGTCTGACTGTGCTGCCTGACCATGCTGCCCTGCACGGATGATGATGCACAGCCACAGAGGTGACGATGCAACACCAGACTTTATATACCTTATTAATGTTTTCAGCCCCAGAAAAGGAACTGTTTACTTGTGAAACGTCCGCAAAATGCCAGGCTGTTGTCCCCTGGTCAAAGAACATATGGAACATATACCAGCGTGTCGACTGAAGCAAAGCACCGGTGTCGCGCAAAACTCCCCGTTCTCCCTCTTCAACGCACGCATAGCCCCAATGCATCATTCGGTTGGGATCTTTGTGTCACGACCATCTAGTATCCAGCTCTCCAACCCGACATGATCACTGGTGCGTGTGTTCATCTATGCGCACGCGATTTTGAGCACCGTTGTCTTCTACCCGCCACACGAACAAACGCTCGTATTTTGTTCCGTCGTTGGGTACTTTTTTTCGGTTAACCTCCCGCTGCACATCCACCAAACAACAACGTATCGGTGCGCTTTCGTCTCGAAACGAAAGCGCACCAGCATGAAAGTGAGGCAAAATGCGTGGCCACGCGTCAATCACCGTTTTCAGGAGTTCGCGCCAGGTAGGAATGGAACGGTGGAACGGCTGATGTCATAGATACCCCAGGCACACAAGTGCTGCCGGTCTGACATTGAAAATAGAACCTCCTGAAGAGTTTGATGCCCAAGGTCAAACAGAATAACTTCCTCCAGACGTTTTCGGATCTTGGTCTTCGGGTCTTAGACTGCGTAGACTCCGGTCCTGAGACGGAACCTACAAGAAAAAAAGATTGAAGCCAGTTTCCGCAAGTCGACATCATTTTTATACGTCTTGCGCGACACCAACACACATCCTAGCCTTCAACCACAGGCCACCCGCCTCGCCACATAGACACCGACAAATTTTCAACCCCTTACTTCGACACAGCCATGTGTGCGCACTTCAGCAAACACACAACGCCATTACGTACACCTTTCCTCCTGCATAACCTGCACAAATGCAAGCCTCTAAATCCGTCACCCTGGCCTGCCGCTGCTGCTGCGCCATCTCCCGGGCGTCCTTTTAAAAAAGGCAGAAGAAAATAAAAAGACAAGCCGCAGGAAAGCCACTAAGCCGAAAAACACGGAACAGACCCAGCTGCGGGGCCATTGCTGAGCCCCAGTCCACGCGACGGCACTTTCCGAGGGTTCCTAGAAGCGCTTTAAACCCCAGCGCCTCCTCTCAACTCTTACGACATGTGGGGTACTAAAGCACGTGTAGTAGTTCAATCGGGTGTCGCGCAACCCTATATCGTTCAACGCACATATCGCGCAACCCTATGTCGCGCAACCCTATATACCATACCATTCAACGCACGCATACAGGTGATTGAGTAAGTTGTGGTTTCGGGGACGCATGTGAAGCCGGTGCGCCTTGTGTGTTATCTCCGGCTGCTACTATTGCTGCTTCTGCCGCTGCCGCTGCAAGTGACCTCGTCATCAGCGACGTCCGGGAACCCCCAACCAGGTGGTGTCAGAAAACGCACCCAAACACGGCCGTGAAAATGTGCAGGGCGCAGCTTTTTCCCCTGCCTCCCTCGCCTCTGCTCCCGGCCCCCGCGTCACGGCAAGTTAGGTTATACCAATCACAGCAGGAGACCACAAGGAGTGCGGCAGAGTATATCAAAGGGGAAAAGTCGCATTGGTATAATTCCTTGCAGGGATGTGGCAGTCCGTGAGGGGGAAGCACGTGATGTGAAGTCACGCTCCGAAACCTTTCCCGCGTTGCATTGTTGCTGTTCTTATTGCTATTTACCAACCGTCCATAGCCACGTTCTATGTAACATTATCACGACACGGGGAAATCACGAATGGCATTTAACACGGCATAAAAGTAAACCCTAAGCATAACAAGCATCTTACATAATGCTTACCTTTCACGCAGTGTAGGCGCTGTTGAAGGCAATGTTACGAGGGCATTTCGTCGACAACAAAGGTGCGCATGCCGAATTGTGCACAGACCCATGACCTTAATGCCGGCAATCCATAACATGGCTGCGGGCCGCTGGACGTTTGTCCTGAGGGTTGTCACAGCCGCTCAGTTCGTGATCCGCCTGACCGCCCGTCAACAACCTACTACAACGCCACGCCGCGCGTCTCTCTCTCTCTCTCACCCCCCCCCTTTTTCTCTCTCTCCTTCCCCCCTCCCCCCTCCTCTCTACCTCTCTATCTCTCTCTCTGTCTCTCTCCAACCCCACCTCTGCCACATCACACATTTTTTATCCGTAAAGACGCGCTGAGACGCGCCGAGAGATCACAGCGGCTGTCCCCAACTGTCCCCAACGGACATTCTCTGCCACCCACCTTACCTCGTCCCAACTCCCTTCTTAGTCAACGACAATCACAGACAGGCCACTCTCACTCTCCCACGCAGCGCAGGAAGGGGCCCAGCCAGTGCCCCCAACCACGCCTACATCCTTCCCTCAAGGCCCTCAAATCTTCTTCACACCAGGATAAGAACCCCGAGTTCGCTTGCCCTTTTCCCCGAATCCCTTAATTCCAGCGGGAATTCCAAAGCCAAAAAGCACAAGACAGCAAGGTGGCAAAGAGCTCTTGTCATCATGCGCTCAAGCAGTATTGGCGGTGGCGACGGTAACCCCGGAGCTGCCGCCTGCTGCGGCTCCGGCTGCGGTGCCTGAGGCGTTGATTGGCTGCTGCTGCGGTTGCTGCTGCTGCGGTTGTTCCATACGCGTCTTGTACTTTGTGAAGTTGATGTGTTTGAGGCCCTCCATCTTGGAAATCTCGTCCACCACCTCGGCAATGATGCGCCGCCCGCCCTCTCCGCCCACCTGTAGGGTAGGAGGTGGAGGTGGAGGAGGTTATGGAGGTTATGGACGGATGGATGGATGGATGGATGGGTGGGTGGGTGGGTGGGTGGGTCCGTGGATGGATGGATGGATGGATGGATGGATGGATGGATGGATGGATGGATGGATGGATGGATGGATGGATGGATGGATGGATGAGCAACTGATGCCCTTATGACGAACACCGCTTTTGCCCCTAGCGCTGCTTTAACCGTGAACTCATCGGCGCTCTGTCTGTGCTTGACACCGCCAAAGCCTATCGACCTCTAAAAAGCCCAACCAAAGGTAACCCAACGGTTGTCTTCATCCCACATGACGGCAAATCCCGCACAGACACCATTAACTACCTACACACATTCGCCTAACATAGAAGCACATCTAGACTGCAATGTTCCTATACACACACGACCTGCGTTTCTTTATATGATGTGTGAAACAGGGGTGTGTATCTTCGCCCGTGGCAGCTACCCTGCGAAACCCTGCCTTCCCCGGTATTTCGGGGCACCCTCATCCAGTCACCCTAGTCAACTTCTCAGTGGATCGCTCAGGTTCCACACCCAACACCAGCATCCAACGGAATCTGCCGGGTCGACAGCGGCCCAACTCCATTCCTGGTCGGCTCGCAGGTTAACTTTATCCCAGGTCACCACCGTCCATCAACTAGGGGCGCAATGCCTTCCACCATCGGAAGGACTTTTGACCCTAACGGGTATCGATCCCGGGATCTCCCGGGGGCAATGGTCGCGCGTTACCAGTGGTGCCAAACCCTTAATATGTGTGAGGTATTATTCCACAATTTCCAGCTCCCCACCACTCACCCGGTGCGCTTGCGTGTACGCAGCAAGCAGCCGCCGTAGCGCGGCTTGTGTGGCAGGCACCGTACGGCGCCGTACGAGCTTGCACGAGTCCCAGGAAGGTGAGGTTGGAATGGCCACGGGTTTAGAGCTGTTGGTGATGTCGTATATGGCACCGGAAACACGACCAGCGTAGTCGCCCTTGACGATGACGTACCACTTGCCGTCAATTACCTGCAGGCGTCGAACAGCCGGCCCGGAACGGCACATGCGTGTTCGTCCAGGGAAGTAACATCCGAGGGGACGTATCAGTTGCGATACGTGTTCAATCCCTGTCCGGGCAAATCCCCCCGGGTATCCCAGGATTTCCAGATTTCACTCTGGTGAACACCGGCCTCACCTCCGGAGATACACACACACATACACATCCACTCCCTCTCTTTTACACACACACACACACACATGCGCATGCGCACTCCCTGCCCGCACAAACCTGCGCCGCATTAATAGAGTTGACCTGCACCTCCTTGAAGGCCTGGTCTTCGTCGTACCTGTACGGCACACGGCGGAAAGGCGTGTAGTGGAGAAAAGAAACCCGCGACCCGTCGACTATACTCACATAATTAGAGGACCTGCGAGTCCCCCAGCAAGGCGGGGCCTGGGGGGAAGAGGACTGTGGGGTGGACAACACCGACGGTAGTGCGATGGCTGTGAAGAGACTTGGTTGGTTGGCGAAAAAAGAACCCCCCGAGCCCCCGGAGTTGACCTTTTGTTTCTGATGTCGCAGATGACTCCCCTCCCTGGTGCCCTCCCTGGTACACTCTTGCCCTGGCAGCAGCTTCACTCGTTCGTATGGTTCGTCTTTCCCCCTTCCCTCCCCCCACATATGACCTCCGGGTGCTCACCAGCATAGATCCGCCTCTCCTCGCTTCCTCCTCGCCTCGTCCTCCAAACACAAGTTCCACTTGGCGTTGTTCATGAGCACCCGGGAGGAGATGGAGGGGTGGCCCGTGAAGTCAGCCCGGACGTTGACCACGATGGGGGTGGTGTTGGTGTTCTGACCGCAGTCTGACAAGGTGGTGTACACACACACAACAAGACACACAAAGGGGTGTCACGGAGTTGAGGGGAGGTTCGGCGGCTGAGGAGGAAATATAAGGGTTCATTTGAATGAAGAGGAAAAGGAAGCCTAGGGATGCGAGGAGAAAGGACGCAACAGGACACGCATCATCAGCATCGGTAGCGGCAGCAGTATCAGTTGCGACGGCAGCAATAGCAGTGGCAGCAGCAGCAGTAACAGTAACGGCAGCAGCAGTAGCAGCAGCAACAGCAGTTACAGCAACAGCAGCAGTCGCAGAGTAGCAGCAGCAATAGCCGCAGCAATAGCAGCAGCAGCAGAGTAGCAGCAGCAGTAGCAGCAGCAACGGCATTAGGAACAGCAGTAGCAGCAACAGCAGTCATTGGGTCTATATGCGCTCTGTTGTTGCTTATTTACTTCGGGCTAATCAGCAGCTGCCTTTGACGACCATCTTCCGTCCTAATTTTCCTCCCCCCTCATTCCTCAATCCCCACTCAAAGGCTGCTGTTAGGAAAGCACTTGCGCGCAATGCCAACCCACCCTCCCTCCCTCCCTCCTTGTTGCGACATTGCTTTGGATTCCAACAGCAATTTGCAACTCTGGACGTCGGCAGTTGTGTTTCCTTCTTGACTTTGCATGCATATAATTCCCTCCCTCCCCCTTCCCTCCCCCCTCCCTTCCCCCCTTTCCCTCCTCCCCCGTCGCTCACCCGCCTGGCACCCAAATCTGCCCCAGGAGGGAAACTCCCAGGGCCACTCGCAGTTGCCATCACCACACACCGGGTCCTTCCAAATGGGAAGAAGAACCTGAGCGGTCGGGAACAGACGGCGACGAGGGGCGGGAGTTGTGCGTATGTATGCATGTATGTATGTATATCGGCATTGAATCAGGTGGGAATCATTAAGGAAGAAACAAAGGATCATATGCCGACGTCGACTCTTCCTGGCAGGGTCTCATGCACACGAGCACGGTACGCCATCCAGCCAGCCAGCCCAGCAACTCCCAAGGGTACGACTACGCCAACGTGAATAGGCCCCCCCTACCCCCACAGCCCCTTCCTTCTTCAACCCCCCACCAACACGCACACACAGACCTTCTGTCCCAGGTACTCCAGCACTTCATCTTCGTTCCTAAAGGTCATAGTGGTGGAGCCGTCTTCAGGCATAAAGGCCTTCTTCAGCGTCTCCACCACCTCGCCAGACTTGTAGGCACTCGCCTGGTGGGGAGATTGGGAGGGCGGGGAATGTGCGAGGACAGTGGGTTTTGGTGGATGGGGGAGAGATGATTCCCATACGGTGCTTCTGCGCTTCCTAATCCCTTCCTTCCAGCTAATTCTTCCTCCGGCATCTTCATCTTACTCCCTCTAAGACGTCCCTTCCAGATTACTCCTTATTGTTATTGTTATGTTGGTGGTGGTGATGGTTGTGGTGGTGGTGCTGCTGCTGCGTACCTGCAGATACAGCACCACCATGTAAGCCGCTACGAAGAGGGAATACCAGGCCACGTGACGGTACTTACGGGACATCTCCACTGCCGCCTTTCATTGGGAAAAGGGGATGAGGACAGAAGGTGGGAGAGAGAGGCTTAGTGGGGATATGGAAGGTAGGATAGTACGTGGACTTGGACCTCATCAGACGTCAGATGGGCGGATGGATGGAAGGCACAATGTTCGCGAATGAGGAAGATGAGCAGGGTTGAAGTGCACGACGCGCAGCAAGCCTGTAGGCTTAAAGGGAAGGTGGGGCAGTGTTCGGTGCTTACCGCCACTTTCTGCTGTACGGCTTTAGCGACCTCCTCATTCGTGGGCGGCTTCTCCGGTGGCGCTCCGCCTCCCCGAGGTCGACGCAGACCTTGCTGGTACTGCTCCCCAACAATGCTACCGCGGCGTCCATTCCGTCCCTCGTCAACTCCAACGTCACCTGACCCTGCGGTGCATGTCCGCTTCCAATTACTTAGCAGCCCAAGGATATGTTGTGTTAAAGCTTGAGAAAGAAATGCTACTCGTTAGCTTACGTTCAGCTGACATTTTGGCGTGTTATTGCAATGTTTCACGAAAAACGGGAGCAGGGACACTTCCCACGACAAATAGTGATGAGCTCCTATCAATACACCTCAGATATAAAGAAGAAGATACATTTCTCTCTATGAAAGTAGGTTCCAGAGCCGTGTTCTCTGCAACCCGAAAATCGGTGCAGCACAGGTAGGCACAGTAGGCACAGTTTGGTTTCACGTAATATTTAAGTCATAGCATGATATACTAATTACATAGTGTATTGTTGCTTTGGAAGGTAATCTGACAAACTCGTATAGGCCGTACGCAATATCGTGTCCTTCAACCAATAAGAAAATAATATTGTATGAATCCCATCTACAGCGCCCTCTCTTCATATGACCAATACCATGGAATAGAGTCCACACGAAACCTGAGTTACACTACATGCCCGTTCCCGAGAGTTGAAACGTCGCATGCACGGGAAAAAACGAGCCGCAAAACCTGATGTATTGTTCTTTCTTGAAGGTTGGCCGATCATTACATTAGGACAAAAGGCTCGCCGGCATGTTACTACGCAGTTGGTACATATTCTTACGTTAGATGACGTACGACAGCAGCCACCTTTTCTTCCCTGTCACACTTGGTATGGCCCTAGCCGACAAACACTCGACCCGTCCTGCGGCCACGTCTCACATTTCGTTGCCTCCGCCAAATGCCGGAATGTGGCTTCTCCAAACCTTGTCTGCAGACCTGCGCAGCTGCAGCACCTCCCTCCAAACCCCCTCCATGAAAGGGCGGGAGACAGACAAGCAGCACCCGGTGCATCATGCAAACGCCTGTATGCAAACTCGTCCCCTCTAACATCGTACGAGGAAAGGAATGCTGCTAAATGCCTAGCGAAAGCAGCGGAATCCAACACGCAAGTCATCGGCTGCAGGGCGTGCGCCCGCACTTCGAAAACATGCCCTAGCTGTGTCGGACTAAATGACACACGACGTCCCAAAGCAAAAACGTCGTGGAGAAGCCGTCCCACCTCGCATACTAGGACACACACGAGCACTCCGTGTAAGATTCCGTCGCGTCCGGAATTTTGCAATGGCGAGACACACCAAGCACACACTGCGCGTTTCAAAACGCAAGGAAATGCAATGTCCAAGAATGCGAAAGCCCAGCCTGGCCCGACTGCCGCACCTACACCATAACACCACCGTCCGTACGTCAAAGCACCAGCGAACATCCGCTTGTCTGTCAGTATGCCTGCCGTCCGCCGTCGTCTCCCCCCAATACACAAACCTAAGCCCCTCTTTCCTGACATCATTCCTACATACTGCGCGATGCTTTGCTTACACACCTCCACTGTCCTAGGAATTCAGATGTCAATCCACACATGCCCCGGCTCCGACCCCGCCAAATGTCGATGTTTAGGCTATGCCTCTAATGCAGCGCCCGCACGGTCCAGGGAGCGATCGCCACCACGGATCCGAACCCGCACCAGCAGGGAGCATCCGCCGCCTCACTGACAAAGTACCAAGCCTTCAATCCCTGAATTCTGTTTTGACAGCTGGCAGTCTGGTGCTAAAGCCGCTGGCACATGACAGCATCACTACCGCCGCCAAAAGAACGGTCGAAACGCCGTTAGCTGCTAAGCTAGATCGAGCACTTAAAAACTGGGCTTGAATGGTCCGAGAGGTAGCGCGAGCTAGGGTCAGCGTAGCTGGTCATGCTTAAGAGCAGTTTCGGCTAGGCTGCTGGTTCCGCCCTGGTAAACTGTTTTTTGTTTGATCTAATCTGACCCTAATCTGGTCTGTTCTGGTCTAGTCCTAGCTGGGCCGCACACTACTGCTGCGTTTCGCCTCTGGTCCACCACGTTCGGGCGAGCTGCACGGCGCCCCGGACGGAATGACGAACCCCCCTGCCTGGCCCCCTGCGCACACATGTCCGGCTGTATGTCTTTTTGCTGTCGAATCGTCTGTATTTTTATGTTCTGCCTGGTATTCTGCCCCCGCTTATTATAGCTCTCCTGCAATGCTTCATCTTGTCTTCTCTACTAATTTATTTTTTGGGTTCTGCCACCAGCATGGTTCGATGTGTGAGACCTAGGTCACCCAGGGTGATGGTACGGCTGCGCTCCAAATCCTGGAAGAGGGAAAAAGCGGGGGGGGGGGGGAGCCGATGAGGGAAAGATAGGAACCACCACAAACCCACACGCATGCAGAAACACAAAATGCCGGGGTCTTGTTCGTCCCGGTGCAACAGAGAACCCTAAGCCATCGCAGCAGTGTCGCCCTGCGCTGCATGCAGTCGCACCTTTTTCGGGAAGGCTGTCGACAGCGCCACTCGCGCAGGCTGTAGCCCCAGTAGGGGTCCCGTATAAGCGAACAAGGCGGCGGAGGGGCTGGTCAGGGAGAAGCGGCGACTGCAGCGGGAGCCGGAGGGAAGCCTGGGACAAATGTTGGGGAGAGTTGCGGGGAGTAGGGGACGCGGAATCACATGCAGAAGACAACGAAACAACTGGCGACGTTCACCAGCTCGGCTGTGGATACTGGAGAGGGTAAAATGGGGACAGGTTACGAGGGAGGCGATGTGCAGGAGAGAGGTGGAAGGAGATTTGAGGGCCCGTCGGGCGACGGGTTCGGAAGAACCGATGAAGGGAGGAGATCGTCGGCTCAGGGTGTTACTTTTTCATTAGTCGATACGGTGCAGGAGAGAGCAGGGAGGAGGTGGTGAGGGGAAGGGGGTAAAGGGGAGTGAAAACAAAACCAATAAGAGCATTTTTATCCCGAGCCCACCTTTTCCCCCCCCCCCCTTCACCTCTCTCCCTGGATTTCATCTTCGCGTTGGGGTTTCATCATTACGGTTCCCTAGTCCGTCTGTCCGTCCGTCTGTCCATGTGTCCCTCAGCAGTTCTTCAGTATGTCCCCACCTGCTGGATGCGACAGCAACAGCAGCTCGCACCACTCACCTAAAAGCCAACTCGATGACGGCCTCCCCCTCAGCCTCCGGTTCAGGACCCAACACGTCCTCCTCCCCCTCCTCCGCGACCTCTCCACCTTGTTGCTGTTGCTGATGGGCTCCTCTTCCAGCCGCAGCGGCAGCAACTCCGGGCGGCACCTCACTCGCCTGGACGAGGCGAAGATATTGAAAAAGATATCGAAAACATATACAACACATCAACGAGCGTTTGGGAGTCCCAATGCAACAGAGGAGCGTCCATTCACTCCCCATATACACCGTCCATGGCCGCCCCACGTCTCTTACGGATGCCCCCGCGTATTCGTGTGTATTCGTAACTTGTACAACTTGTAACTTGTTTAGAGCATCCAACGCTGAAGAAACTGATGCTGAGTTGAAGCCATACAGGAACGCAAACGCGGCATTTTGGCGTAACTGTAGTATTCTGGGCATATCACGGGATCTGCATCCGCCGATCGGTGTACTTTTCGTGATATGACAGGAACAATGCTGACGCACGTGTATTGTCTGTGTGAGTCAACACCCTGCCTTCGGTTTGTCTTTGACTAGTCTTTTGTTTCTGATGTCTCCAACTCCACGCCAAGTAGAGCACAAAAACATCTTTACTTCGCGCAACCCATAAACCGCCCCCAGCTCACGTACACCACCCTGGAGCGGCTTCACTCGCTCTGCCGCCAACGACGCCGCTGCCAAACAGCATCCCCCGAAACCCACATACGCCCTCCCAGCCCCCCCAGCCCCTAAACCTGCCAAACCCTCCCCGCCTGGGCTCGCTCTTCTTTTCCCTACACCTCCCCGTACCCCGCGGTTCCCCTGTCCGACACGAGTTCAAATCCCTTCCAGCCCACATGCTTTTTCCGGAGGCTTTACCTGAGCCGGCGGTGAGAGCCCTGATGACTCAGCCAAGCTCGCCGCGATTGCCGCAGCCAGCTCCGGATCGTCATCGTATTCATCGTCGTACATCTCACCGTACACATCGCGGCCGCCGCCGTCACCGCCGCCGGCAGGAGGGGCGTGGGACACACCTTGAAGCCGCTGTCGTTCCTGCTGCTGCTGCTGCTGCTGTGCCGCCGCCGCATGCGACGTGTGATGGCTTGATTGAAGGCTCGCGGCGATCGCCGCCGCCAGGTCTTCGTCATCGTCATCGTCGTCGATGCCGCCATCGGCGCCGTCACCACGGCTGCCTGGCAAGCAGTTCGCAGCAGAAAACACAGAAAAATAAGCGGCAAGGTTTTACAGCAGATAAACGGTCCCCGCGCGCTACCTCGCACCCCTCACCCCCTCTCCCAGACTCCCACATGCTTACATACATTTCTGCATACATACAGATTCACTACGGTGTTACAAACACATGCTCCAAAAATATTCACCGTCCCATCTCCGCGCCTTAATCGTACCTTCACACAACCGCATACCATCGCCCCCTCCGGTTTCCCCCCCTTTTCCGCAAAACCCCTCCCGCTCACCTGCCGGCCCTCCCACTCGGCTTCTCAGCTGCAACTGCCCTCCCTGCCTCTCCGCCTGTGCAAAGGCCCCCTCCAACGCATTTGCCAGCCGGCCCCGCTTGCGAGCCCGCTCAGCTTCATCATTGGCGGCTCTGGCCTAGTGGGAAAGACCACGGAGGACCACAACCAGGACGACATACATACATACATACATACATACATACATATATGGATACACGTCTTCTCTGTGGGACTGGGTTGCTTGGTGAGGGACGAAGGTGAGAGCGGTGCAGTACGAGACAGGGTGAATAGGTTTCTGGAGGACCAACCGTTCAGGTTAGTGGCGGTAAGGGGGAGGACAATCCTCCCCCTGCGGTTTTCTGGAGGGTCTAGGAGCTGTGTGTCGTGGCAACGCTAACGCTTTGGTCGTTTCGCCGGACTATCCCGGGCCCCTGCAGTGGTGATCAGGCTTGTGCGGGATCCCTTTTCTTTATAAGGCTACTTCTCCCCTGGACCAGCCCAGGAAGGGACAGGTGGTGGAGGTCAGTTGTTTTAAGGTGGTTGCAAGACGTCTTGTGGTGTCGAGCTCTCTTAGCCTTTCTCTCTTGGAGGTTTTTTTGTTGGCCTGTTAGGTATATCAGGAGCCCTCCCCTGCCGGGACTACCCTAACCGAATTTTTGTTTGTTTGTTTTCCCTTCGGATCCCGTTTTCGTTGGTGGTGTTTTGGGGGGTTGTTTCAGAGAGCCTTTGACTTTGCCCTAGCTGAGACTTGTGGACTCGCTCTAGCGGGACCTGAGAGCCCTTCGTGGTGTATTCAATGCAGCGCCATCCCCGGATGGAGGGGCTGCGGAGTGGCTGCGTAGAGTGTTGGCAGTCTGAGTCGGGGTCGGGAGCACACAAGACTAACCGACTTGTGCTGTGTGCTCCCGACCCTTGCGCTGTGTTTCGGCTTCGGCCCCCGGCTCTCGCGGCCCACAGTGTAATCTAAGTCATATATGGATGTTGTAGCCCTGGTAGGCTAACGGAATGGAGCGCGAGGAGTGGGCGGAGAGTCTTAGGGTTTATCTCTGTTATGGGGGTTTTAAAAGGCGAAGTACTGAGTACAGGTTGGGCTTGGGGTTTCGTGTCTTTTTATGCGGGGGAGCGAGGAGGGGAAATGTGGTAGTGCTCCCCTGTGTGGTGAGTTTGAAGAACTGCGGGCCATTTACACATAACGGACATAAGCATACAGATGAACATGCACGCGCGTACCTCCTCTGCGATCCACCATCTTCCTGTGGTGTTGGGCAGCTGGTCCAGGGAGCCCGGCTGGGCGGCGGGCAGGGCGCCGATTACCTAGTAATTGAAAATTGGTTGGAAGGTGGCAGAAGGGGTGAACAATTAAATCGGCGACTAAGAAGATACACAGTGCTGGTCGGTGGCCACGTTCGCCATCTTTTTTTATTATAGCCACGAAAAGACACAACTGCATGAAGCTAATGTTATACATGTACAAAACAATTGCACGACATCTTGTGCAGTTATTCGTACGTTGTTCGTAGTGCAACAACAAAGGTCATTTTGTGCGACGTACCACAAAAATCGTCCAGCCCTCTTCTCGCAGAGTGTCCAGGAAGGCTTGCAGGTAAAAGATGGACAGAGGCTGCGGGGCAGGCAACCTGGGGGCCAGATGCAGATCGAACATAATGTCATTATAGCATAATGATTAAATAACAAATAATAATAATATATAATGTAATGCAATAATAGTTTTATATGTCACACTAATAAGACCGAACATAATGTGGGCCAGGCGTGACCGGAAATATGGGAGGTCTAAAGACGAGGTAATTGCAATAAATGCCCCAGGGAGTGGTAAATACGCCTAAGTCGCGATGCCCCGTGCGAAGTACCTCCACTACCCCCCCCCCCCGTGCGAAGCAACGATAGGACAGCACGGAGAGGGAAGCCAAATGTCTGCGTGTGTTCGTTTGGTGATGTGGGTTTGGACGGATGGAACTTATCGTGCATGTGCGCAGCTGTGTGTCGTTGACCATCCTAGCAAAACAAAACAAACCAAACCTCTTTCGTTGGCGCGGATATGCCCAAGAAGGTGCATATTCGCATCACCCTCCCAAATCGGGGCCCTTACACACACATACACACACATATCCGCGTCTTTTCCCCAGCGCGCACATCCTGCCCTTTGTTTTTTTCTCACAACTTCTCCAACTTCCGAGAGAAACAGTCAGTTTGGATGCCCACTTCTTGCACATGCATGTGCGAGGGCTTTGCGTACAATACTTCTTCCCTTCCAGTCGCCGCGTTCCCCTCCGGCCGATTACCACGCACCCAAAAACAGGCGGTCGCAGCCGCTATTATCTCACTCCCGGCCCTGCCCTGCCCTGCCCTGCGCTGCCTAACCCACAGCGAGTTGAAGTTCCACCACTCCTCTCCTGCCACTCGCCGAAGAGTGAACCAGTGCTCCTAGGGGGTCCGATTAGTGAGGGAGAGGGGGTTTAAATCATGAATAGGGTTGCATGAACCTTAGAACGTTAGTAAAAAATAGAATAATTCTAATTAAAATCTTATGTATAATTAGAACGATCATTTAGAACGGATTATATCGTCCTAAGGTCGTACGTTCGTCCTATAATATGGTTTAAAAAGCTGTTGTAGCAGCTGAAAAGCAAGGAAAGCCCTCAGAAGTCAAACTTTTCTAACTAAGCAAGCCATCCCTGACGCCGAGCTCACATGCAAGTTGCAGATGAAAGCGGTTGCGGTGGTTGGAGCTGCCTTGTACTGCCGGGCCTCCTCCGACTCCAGGGAGACCACCTGGGGCAATACACACAAGGGCACGGAGGGCGGCGGCGAGGGGAATACATAAGCATAAACGAGAGGAACAATGGCAGCGTGGAGGAGGGTTGCGCGGAGAGAGACAGTTTCACATGCAAGAGCCTAAGATACAACTGCTAAATGCGGTGTGTCTGTGTCTGTGTGTGGGGGTATCAGAGTAAAGACGAGCCGCAGACGAGACTCTCAGTCAGTATCCGAGCGATTGGAGAGGGGGGAGGAGCAGGATAGAAAGCCATTCCACGGGACGTGGGATGGTTGGGGAAAGATGAACCACGAACGAGTGGTTAGCTGCTGCCAGGGCAAGAGTGTACCAGACGTAGAACTGACCAAAAGGCGTTCTTGAAGGCGGCGACCTCGGGATGACGTAGTGAAGAAGATGTCGGAAAACTACCTACCTAGCCGCCAAGACTAAAATAAGCGCAGAAGAAAAGCAGTAATGCCAAGCCGGGATGGTTGGGGAACCACTGGGTCGGGAAATCACATGCAAGGAAACAGGAATGAGCTGCCGGCGTCTGTGGGTGGGTGGGGAGGGGTGGCTGCATCGCCAGGGGTAATCCGCCGGAGCAAAACCCGCACAGCCTGCACATGGTAAGTGCCATGAGTGTGCGGAGGTATGAACAAGAGGCACTTATCAGTGTGCGCCAGATTCGTCGTTTTTGCTGTGGGGAAAAAATGCTTCCCGACCCACATCGCCCTCAATCCTTGCTCACCTGCAAGCCCCATGACTCCAATGCACGGCTAAGAACCTTCAAGCACGACAGAAGTACGACGTACGGGAAGTCAGTCCATATAACATGAGACGCATCATTTGATAGTAGCTCATCACGCAAATGAGTTGACGCTACATGTAGGAAAATGATCCACAGGAGCCGTAGCCAAGGCATGCGCACAAGGTCAGGGTGCGGTGATGCTTCTGGGTCGCGATGGGAGCCTTAAGCGGGGTAGTGGAAAGCGCCGTGGAAGGCGAAACTGGGAGACCGTACGGTGAAAAAGAGGGGTCTCGGCCTTGAATGTTTCGGCAAGTTGGGCATGGGGCATTTTCCACAAAAGGAGAACCAACTTAAAGGGGATCAAGAAAAAAACAATCACAGCATGAATCAGCAAACCCGTGCAGTACCCCAGCACACGTTGCGCATCGGCGCGCGCTCCCCAGAATGAAAACGTCATGGGCTACCAACACGGCAGCCACGTAGGTGAATTGAGAGGTACGAAACTGCAAGAGGCTTATGGGGATCGACCTGGACAGCGCCATGTGCTGTCGTGCTCGCGCATTTGCCGCTTTGCTGAGCCCAAGCCCGCCGCGCTCCCGAAGTCCAGACAGCTTTCCCTTACATATGATTGGCCCACCTGTATAGAGAACATGCCATCCATGGCCACATTGCCCGACCCCTCGCCCAGCGCGCCGTCCCCAACAAGGGCACGCTCCAGCTCATCTAGCCCTTGAGCTATCTGGGCTAAATCTATTTCATTGAAATAAGGACCTTGTAGCAAGGTGTTGAGGCAGTGTACACCGCACAACGCCGCGACTTGTTTTTCATGGTAAAGCATAGCTCTTACGAATTCTGTGAAGCTCAATAAATGATTGGGTGTATGGTCATGACGCAGCGGCAAGCCACTACATGTCGGATGCTCGGATGTTAGACGGATGTCGGGCGTACGGGCCCTGGCGGGTTTCTGCAAGCAGCTGTAAAGATGCACATTCACTCTTCGTTTCGAAACATTACATACTCGTAACGGTCATTGATAGGCCGGATCAACGGGTTAATCAAACCCGGGTTCATGTCGGGAAGGCAACTACCAAAACTTGATTGGATAGACTTCACAGGGAGTCTTCCACCTGACTTTCAGATCCAGAAGGTGTTTCACGTCTTTCTCTTGCGCATTCGCCTTGCAGCGATTTTAGATTCCAACGCACAAAGAGTTCGCACGAAGATATCTGTAAAGGCAAGCCTGCTGATTTTTTGGTCACCTATGAGGGATGCCTGTGATCCATAGGAGAAGCATGTTTGTCGCCTGAAAGAACATTAAGAGTTCTGGCATCAATGGCTATTTGCGCAGGAGCGCCTGCTTCAGGGAACCATTAGATACTTCCCAAGGCAACAGGAAATTGAATATCGGTAAGCGTATGTGCTTAAGACCTGGAAAGTGAAGTGCCTTGCGCAAAATCCTATTGACCTCTGCGTCTCCCGAGACTGTGTTGCTGTGTGTTAACGGCATCATATAACCGCGTAATACCATCTCCACTGCCCTCACAGCGTCAGCTGGCTCCACAACGACGGCAGCCCTCTCCATCCCCAAACCCCCCTTCCCCTTCCGTACGCATTTCCCCCTTCCGTAGCAAACGCTTCAAGCTACTGGGCATCGCATCCGCCTACGCCTGGGCGCGCTGGGACCTCCGGAGGCTTTCTTCCCCAGGCGACGCGCCCGCCTGGCAGCCCCGAGTAGGCTTTGGCCTGGGCCTGGGCGGCTCCCCGCTGCTGTCATTCGGGGGAGGTTTGCGGTCCGCGGGAGCGCTGTTGGCGCAGGGACCTCTTGTCTACTCATTCAAAACAGGCCTGGGGCCTGACCCTGGGTTACGGGTCAAGGTACGGAACTGGGTAGTACTTGCAAGCAGCGGGGGGGAAAGATGTCAAACGAGCGATGTGACTGTGACGGGGAGAGCGAAGAGGGCAGGCATGGTGTACCGAGGGATGATGATGAGAAATGTGGGGAAAGATGGCCGAGTAAGGCACTAAGATCTTCGCTAATGGTAACATACCCTCATAGCCTTCCACCCCTACCCCCCCCGCTTTGAACCACCTACGACGATGCCAACTTCGCTTCGTCCATCTCTTCCCCCTACCTTTCGACCGGTCGTCATTCTCCCTCCCTCGCCTGCAGCGGGCCTCGCTACCTGCTTTCACCATCCTCCTTCGGACCAGTAAATATTCCTAATGCAGCATTTGTATTCTCCTAAATTATCCGTCTAGTTCTGGTATCTGCTTCACTCTGGTGGTAGTGCTTCATTCTCCAGTGGTTCGTCTTACCTCCTCCTCCCCTCGGACCCCTTGATGACGCATCTTCCTGCGCCTCCGTCACCTCCTACTTCCTCACTCTCCCTGCTCTTCTCGCATTCCCCATGACGTGCGTGCGCCTCTCCTATTCCTGACTCCACTGGCGGACAACCCTTCCAGACATATTTCGAGCTCTCGATTCCGAACCGGGTCATCTTTGGAGACGACGGCGGCGGCACGGCAGCCGACGGCGACGACGAGTACGACTGCGAGGGGCCCGCCCGGCATAACAACGATTTCGGCAACGACAGCGACGGCTTCCCTCTGCGGTTGCGGCTGTGGAGATCCAAATTGGTGCTTAGTGTGTGATTGGTGCCTGGCGGTGGCCGCCGCTGCAACGGGAGTTGTAGCATCGCATCGAGCGCGAGGATTGCAAGCAGGTACAGGGGGAAGGTCTTCAGGAGAAGCTCAAGCAAGGACCAGCAGCTGTACCGTACGACGTCTTCGTAAGGATGAGCCTTGATAGAGTGGAGGTGACGCAAGGTGCGTAAATCTCAACCAGTTTCGTGTCTGGTGTCTGGCGGATTGGAAAATTAGGCGACCTTTGAATTCAGGGTTAGTGCGATAAACCGGGTTACATGTATGCGCGGGTCGGATACCTACCTGCTGGCCGGCGTTTGTGTGTCTGTGTGTGTCCGCGTGCGTGCGCGCGCGTGTGTGTGTGTGTGTGTAAATATGGCTAATCGGAAATACCTTCCAAGGCGGGAAAACACCTTCCAAGGCGGGAAAACACCTTCCAAGGCGGGAATATACCTTCCAAGGCGGGAAAATACCTTCCAAAGTACGCCACCCGGCGGCACCAGTGGTATGCCGATGATATCGAAGCACACGAAGTGCTTTTGTTTTGGTCCCTCGTCTTCCTGAGGAGACGGGGCTCTTCCTCCGCCTTTACCCTCCTTCCCCCCAGAGGTTCTCCTGGCGGTCCTCAGCCACGCGCACTCGACCGAGGCCGAGGAGGTCATGGGGCTGTTGCTGGGGGATATCACGGTGGGTGGTGGCCTGGACTGCTTGGGCTGGGGGGTTGAGGCAGGTCAGCATCCAGCGGTTAGCAGGAAGGCCTGAAGGGCCCCACGGCTCCACGGTACCCCTATAAAACACACATGCCAGACTTCGGCCAGCATGTGTTTCTTCGCGATAATGGTATATCATCCTTTCTTCAGTGGTTTTTCATGAGTATGAGCGCCTTGGGTGAATGGTGGGGTGGATGGATGGGTTTGACTTGCTAGGCGGGTGGCGGTGTTGCCGGCTATTAGCTGAGCGGTTCATGTGAAGGCGTCTCAGTCATCGTATCGTATATGTTACATGTTGTACTGACCGTTGGGCAGCAACGTGTGTTCCCCGCGCAATGTTTCCGTCAGGGGCCGCAGATATGGCCAATTGCAGTCTGAAATAACCTGAAATAGACTGTCAATCAGCTGCCAGCTGCCGTACGAGGTAAGGCAATTGGCGCGGCACCTACAGCTGCTGACGCGAGGGTAGCCTCCTGCTTGCCTGCTTCGCGAAATCTCCTACCCTACTCAGTTGTCGTAGTTCATGAATAATTTGGCTTGCGCTACTTTTGAAAAGTCCCGCACATCTGTTCCTCGACGTACATACAGGACGACTCCTCTACGGGCGGCGCGGTGGTGTGCCGGGTGTCGTTGGCTTTTCCGCAGATCCGTACCGATAGACGGAAGGTGCGTGTCTGCATGTATGTACGCGTGAATGTCCTGGAAGGCGTCAGACAGGCATGTGCCGGAAGGTGCGTGCCGCGCATGTAGAAGAGGGAAACGAGCGGAGTGCGTGTGTGCACGCACATCCCATACCATTTCGAATGCAACGCATGGCATGGATTCCGAACATCGCTACACCCGTCCACCAGCTGCTGATATACGCAACATACACAAGTGTCGGTTATATAACTTGGTATGCAGTTGCGTGATTGCTACTGCAGTTGGTGCTTCGGCCGTCCACAATTTACTCTTGGCCGCCTCTTGATTATGTGCCACCCACACACCTACAAGTACCCTTACACCAACTCATCCATCCACCCATACATACATGCATACATACATACTAGGGTTTGGCACTACTGGTAAGGCGCGACCATTGCCCCCGGGAGATCCCGGGATCGATACCCATTAGGGTCAAAAGTCCTTCCGATGGTGGAAGGCATTGCGTCCCTAGTTGATGTACGGTGGTGATCTGGGATAAAGTTAACCTGCGAGCCGACCAGGAATGGAGTTGGGCCGCTGTCGACCCGACAGATTCCGTTGGATGCTGGTGGTGGGTGCGGAGCCTGAGCGATCCACTGAGAAGTTGACTAGGGTGACTGGATGAGGGTGCCCCGAAATACCGGGGAAGGCAGGGTTTCGCAGGGTAGCTGCCACGGGCGAAGATACACCCCCCTGTTTCACACATCATACATACGTACGTACGCACCTCAACCCACAGGACCGTGTGGAGACCTCCCCCGAGCAGATGGCTCGCTGCTCAGCGCACGCGGAACGACTGAGTCGTGAGACGGGACTGCGCACCCGGGTAGTGGGCTGGTACCACAGCCACCCGCACATCACAGTGCTGCCTTCACACGTCGACGTGCGAACACAGGTACGCGGTTAGGGCCTGCGGAATACTGTTAGTTTCTTTTCTTTTCCTATGTTGCTTGCATCATGCGTCAGTAAAATGTTTTAATCGCCTAAGGGTGACACCCTCGTGTAATAGGTAGGGGGGGACCAACTTTTACAAGATGTACTTGCGTGTCTGCGTGTGCTAGTGCTCGTACCGTCTACGTTATAATGGTCTGGCGGCTGTGTGATCAGTTCAATGCGGTGGGTGGATGGATGGTATTAAGAAGCCCATGGCGACTCTGCGAGAAATGGCGAAGACTGCTGTCGAGGTGTCAGCACAGACAACAGTCTGTTGTATGTCCTGACACCTCAAGCAAGCAATGTGTGTGTATGTGTGTATTGCTGGCAATGCTGGTAGAGGTTTGGGACAACAAGCCGCCACCTGGAACCGGCGTTGAGTCATGGGAGTGGTCAGTTAAGTGCCTGGCCCTGTCCTGCTTCTGTACGCCCAGCTGGTGGCGTAGTGGTGCTTGGGGAAGAGCCGGGTCGGGGGACAGGAGTGAGGAGGAGAAGGGCCTGAGGAGGATGACGCGAGCGAGACGGCTCTATTTGTTTGTTCATATAGGCGGCCCCTGCTTCCGCACCGCTTCCGCTTCCTTCCCTTGTAGGCCATGTACCAGTTGCTGGACCCTGGCTTCGTGGGCCTTATCGTCTCCACCTTCAATAGGGACGCGGCATCGCAGACGTCCACTGTACAGGTAGGTTTGCGCCTACAAGACGATGGCTTTGTAACTGGATTCTTTATGCGCGTTTGCGTCATGTATGTCTGTCCGTTGTTCGGTAGGAAGGTTCTATGCAAGTACAGGGCGAGAAGATTCTCTAGGATTTTTAATACTGGAGTGCGCGTTGGTTGGGTGGAAGCGAGGGCGCGCATAGCAACAGCATGAGCAACAGCATGAGCTAGCTTAGGGAATGTATGACAAGTATCACAGACAGAAGGCACATGTCTAGAGTTTTTGTACCACCACCTGACCAAAGCCTGTCGATTTTTATTTGCGTCCATAGAGCTCCTATCTAAGCTTTGCCGACTCCAAGATGAAGGTCTGAACGTTGCTTTGAGTAACCACGCATCCACAATCCTTTCATCCCAGCGCCGCCGGATGTGTCCTTAATCAAAGCAAACCTCTCGCTACCTTTGATACCGCCGCAGCTAGCTAGCTGGCTTGCATTGGCCGTGCCACTCTGGCTCGAGCACTATTGCCCCTTTCGCCCCGCTCTCCCTTAGCGCTACTAACCTTTGGTTTGCCCCAAACCTTTCGTTTGTCTGCTCCCTGCCCGCCTGCCCATTGGTCTGGAGCCTCTTGCTCTTCTCCATCCTGCGGTGCTGTCACTCCTGTGCAGACGCCGTTTCACTGTTTTAGGCTTTTTATGTAGTCTCCAACAGCCTCACAACAGCCTCACCCCGTTCCTCGTCGTTTCCCAACGTACCACCCACAAGTTGTTAACCTTTCCGTCCCTGTTTGCCCACATGCTCATCAATCGCCTCTCTTTCATGCCTACTCAACGGCAGCTGACAGCATTCCAGTCGCTACCAGACGGTAAGTAGTGTCGTTGGCATGCACGCATACCGACCATCTACCGACATGCAGCGAGCGCCGTAAGTCGCGCACGACATCCAGCCCTCCTTACCGCCATAACAGCAGAGAAAGCTTTAATTCGTCAGTCGTCTGGTCAATAGTCGTATTTCGTGGCTTAGTATGGCGCAAAGAAGAGGCGCTGTGTCAATGGATGGCTGCTTGCGAAACCATGACATCGCCTTTTCCTGTATGTATCTTTATATCCACGTCCTGTCTGTCTCAAGAGGAGAATTTTATGCGATGTGTATCGCCATGCGTGGATTGGTGTTCATTGGCAAATGCACAGGGGCCATCGTCCCCGTTGCTGGTGGTGTTGGTGCTGGTGCTGGCAACAGCGACGGCAGCAGCAGCAGCAGTGGTGGTGGTCTAGTCCGCAGCATTGTGCATAGTCCCACGGGACCTTTGGTTCGCAAGGAGGTCCGCGTATCTGTCGTCCCCTCCGTTACCTCTCTGGAGCGCTCCTTCTCGGACCTGCTGGTGGTGCAGAAGATTCTGCTGATGGAAGAGAACGAGGTGGGTTGCTTCTAACAACTTTGGATTACATAGCTTCCTTCGCGCGAAGGGACCTCGTCCAAGGGTAATTTGAGGGTGTCTGTAAGACTGTGGGTCGTCTTCGTGAAGCCACAGCTTTGTTTGGCTGCTAGGCCGTCTTTTTTTATTCAGGCTATGGACTTCGGGCCCCAACCCAAAGCTGGGTTTCCTTCTTGTTTTATACCACGGCCTCATGACGCCTCATAGCCCGCCGACTTGACCCTGGTTAAGACCTCTAAATCGACTCAGACGCTGCATTTGTACGTAGCCCTGAGCCACGCAAATGCGGGTCCTCTACATCCGTAGCTGCTGATTCCGGGTGGCGTATGGGACGTGTCGTATTGGCTCGCTGCACGTTATAAACTGCCTGTCTAACTGCTGTATGTGGCATCACGGGATTGCTTGCATGCTGTGTACCCCTAAACGTTTAATCTCTCGCCAGGTATATAAAAAGGCACTGGCACTGGCAGGTGCTATGGCTACAGCTAGAGGCGGAGGCGTAAGGTAGGATTGGTATTACACGTCCAAAATGAAAAGATCTACATGTTGATATAGAACTCGTGTTGGGCTTTTGAGTCGTGAGCTGGTTACGCTTTTATTTTAGGTGTGTGGCTCACACACGTTAGGCTTACATGCATTCATTTACACCCAAGCCTGGGCCTGCAAGCCTGGGCTATCAAAGTCCAACTCGGGTGAAACAAATAAAGTGTGTGTGGGGCCTTGGTACGAATACGGGCACAAGTACGGGGGCAAGCAAGCCCGCAGTCCATCTCCCTCCAGCGAAGCTGATATGTACGCCGGCATTTACACCGTACACCGTACACCGTACATGCGCGCTTGTATTTGTTTGTTTTTATGTATGTCTGGAAGGATGTAGGGAACTTGCACATTGAGGGAAGAAAGGTAATAGGGAAGCGACGGTGTTGAATAACTGTTAAGTAGCGTGACTTTCCGATGTCCTGCTCGTATGTATGTACGTATGTCCAGTGGCCCGAACGCCGCCACGTCCTCCTCTGCACCCTGCCTGGAGTTGACCGAGGTGCATCACGCAGGAGTGTACCAGGTAAGTGATGAAGTGGCTGAAAACCTGAGCTCTGGGATTTTTCTATAATGGCGTGCGGGGTTACGGGCAGCAGGTTAATCTTCTTTTGCATCCTCAACATGGTAGATTCCTCCACTGACTGTTACAAGGGGGAACGCTGCTGGTGTGTGTGTGTGTGCGTGTGTTTTCGTCTGTGTTCGTGTGTGAGCGCGTGTGTGCGTACATAGTCTCGTGGCAAAAAAGGGAAGGGACATGGCTTCGGCAGCAGACCGCAATCCCGGGCATCCCCCCCCCCCCCTTGTGCAAGCACCAGTGGGGTTTGATTATCTGTAGATCCGCCTCAGCTGAATCGTTACCGGCACTACTGTACATATGTTAAGTGGCTGGGTGTCATTGCCGACCAGGAGTGTCAAGCAGATCTTAAGTACTCAAGGGAACTGAGAACGGCGTCCGGTTTCCTTCGCAAGGGATCCCAAGGCATTCGGTACACTAGATCGTTTATTTAGTCTGCAACGAGCTGCGGCGTAGTTTTAATTGAAACCTTTCTGTAGCTATAATTATCATTATAGCTTTAAGCAAGCATCTCCCTCCCTGGTTTGCCTAAAGCTTCCGAACGCAGACTCCTTGGACTCCTTGAGCTCTATCTCATATCCCTTGTGCCCCGCCTACCTAGCTACCGCCTTCACCTTCAACCCCGTTCGCCTCCAGCCCTATTGGCGCGCATGCTTCCAACTTCGATGATCATTTTTTACACTTGTAAATTTCCCCCCTTTCATCTGTCCGTGAACGTGAACGTTTCCTTGACGACGGTACATGTAATGCCCGCCTTCCAAATTTTACCAGGCGCACTTGGTACGGCTCGTGGAGACGTCCCTGCGACCCGCCCTGGTGTCTGTGGCGGCACTTGTGGCCCAGCAGCGCGCTCAGGAACAGCAGCTGAGGGCGCAGGTGGAGCAGCTGGAGAGGCTCGTCGCGGTGGCTAGAGCGGTACCGGCGGGCACAGCTGCAACATCGGTAAATACATTGCAGTAAAAATGGTATTGCATTGTTACTGCATCATCATCATCATCACCAGTAAGTGCGTGGCGCTTGGACACCGCTCCGACAGCACCACTCTCAGCAGACAGCCCCCGCCGTTACGGTGTGTGCGCCGGGAATGTTGCTTGTACGTACATGTATTTTCCTTATTCTAGCTACGGAACATGATGTGAAGGGGCAGCATGCGGCAACGGTAGCCGTGCTGTAAGCAAGCGCAGGTGCGCTACTTGAAGTAAGCAGCATGACGCCTGAAGCATGTGAAGCACTTCTGCAGATGGTACTTGGCAGATGGTATTAACTTTGCCTACAAACCACGTAGGCAGGCGCATGTAGGCAGCGGCGAGGGGTTAGGTTTGTTTCTGATTGCTGGTGGGATGCTGAGAGCGAGGGGTAATGTCTGTGTCTCTGATTTCGTTTCGCAGCTAGCAGGGGGTTACGCAACCTGCTCCTGTACATGTATGTACGTGTATTCCATGTGCGGCTTTATCAGCATGGCGGGATGACGGGCGGGATGGGGTTGTTGTGTAGACATCTAGCAGGGCTGATGCATGTCGCCTCATTGCGCCTTACTGCACGCCTGCCTGCCCGCGCTCCCTTGCAACCGTGCGATGTATTCGATAATGTGGGAAACCTGATGAGTTGTACCGTGCGGTGCCGTGCGTCGTCAATGCGTGCGCGGTCATGCATGGTACCGGAATTGTCCTCGAAGTTTTGGCCGTCATGTTTGAGTGATGGCGGGCCTAGTGCGGAGTGATACTGCTGGGTGCACGAATCAGCTAGCTTAGCAACTTAGTGGAGCAGTACGTAATTGAGAAGAAGGCGCTAGTCCAGGAAAAAGGTTTGAGGGAGGTCCAAAATGAACGATGGCATACACAGGCAGTAGTCTGGAAGGAAATGCTAAAACGCAGCCGCGTGCCGTCCTTGTTACAGCACCAATCGCCTGTTGATATGAGTGAAACGGTCTCAAAAGCCTTCTTTGGTAATTTCACATCTCGTCCTCCCAACTGCTGTAAAGGTCCATAATGGTACATGGGCATGGCGGAAGTTGCCTGCCTTTAGCAAAGAAAACATCAAAGCGTTTCTTCATCGCGCTGGTCGTCAAGTTACGCCAGGAACGCTTCCTGCCATACATCGGTATTCTGTCAGTACGACTTGCACGCAACGCGACCGTGCCCTAGTACCTAGCTCTTTGGCATACCCGCGCAGCTGAGCGACGCAGGTGCGTGCAAGCAAGCGCGCCTCCTGCGTGTCGATGTTTTTGGCTCCGCTGCTGGGAAAATGAACAGGATCCTTTCCTATCTATTCTATCGTATTCACATATTCGTTTGGCCCTGCCTGATGAAGATGGATGTCCTTCGGCCGGCGTCGCGTTTTTCCGACTGTGTAGCCCCCATGCAAGAATGGGCTGCGGCCGTTTTAGGGGAACGGTCACAGCTCCCCTAAATCTGCCCTTCGGGCTGTCGGTCAATTCGTCCTCCAAACGAAGATACAACCGCTGCTCACTGACTTTTGGGGTTCAGTTGGTTGTTTCTTGTTACTCGCTAATAGATAATAGCTAGTACTATATTCGTATAATCATTACGTACATCCGGGACTGTGTGTTTTTAGTACCGTACATCAGCAATTTTTTGCATTACCGACAATATGTGAATTATAGTGAAGATGAAAATGAAGTTGAAGAGCAACGCGCACTCGCATTCCATCAGCGAGAAGCGAGAACGAACGGTTTTGATGCTTCGAAAAGTTTGGCATGACCCCAAATGTTCGTAGTAACACCGGCGGAGACGGAGGTGTATGTAGGAGGTAAGGGGAAGTTAACGGCCGCACGTTCGTAAATTCATGGTCAATCCACAGCAATGGCCGCATTTACGCGCAACGTCATCGTGGATTGGCGACATGACAATTGATTAGGTAGGCCGCACTATCTAAACATGGTCACCAACCCCCAAAAAGAAAAAAAAAGAATGACCGCGCGCGCCTATTTCGCCGCATGCTCTTCAGTTGTCTGCATATCTTTGTTCCTGAAACTGGACGATGATGATATACATTGGCATTAAATTGTATCAGTGTCTGTGATCAACGATAAATGCGCTCGAGCCGGTCTCGAGACATGCGCAATTTCGCCTGTGCGTGCAAGGATAGGTACAATTTGCGTCAAGAAGGTCAGCTACGAAATAAGCTATCGCATATCATAGGTTATCGCGTATCATATAATGTTGCTCATACGTTGCACTGAGAGCACACTGAGGGCGTTCAGCAGCTGTTTAAACTCTGCAGCACGGCAGAACGCAAATGATGTATCTCAGCCAGTCGCCACTGCTTCATAGTAAAAGTAATTTGGATTATTATTGTATTGTTATACTGCCTGAATTAATGCTTCACAGCGAACTATGTCTATGTCGCCTGTTGCCTTCGAAGCGACAGAGGTCGCCAGAAGGTCGATGACCGGTGCATGAATTTGAAGTATTGCTCGGAATATCTTTATGTATTGATAAGCCTTCATCTGCATCGTACTAATTTCATGTAGTCTGCGTACTCTAGAAGACAACTGGATTGCTCGAATATGTATTTGTAATAATCCAACCGAGCACCTACGCCGGAAAAACCATATACATATTCATTTTTGACATGGTTGTCTCCTGTTTTTAGCGCAGGTAATGTGCTTGCCTGCCTTATCACCAGTTATCAACAGCGGATCCAAACTTAAAAGCTAAGCAAGCAATTGCAGCATGACTATGCAGTCTTCCAGTAATAACTCTTGAAGGTAGTATTTTGCAACCAGTACCAGCAGTGCGATCCGTTACTTGGTAAACCTAACGCCAGCAGCCAACAAGCAACGGCGATGGACATGGCTCTGCACACTAAGCAGCAGCAGCGGTTTTGGTGCCAAAGATAATATTGATTGACCTGCCAGAGAGAGAAGCTACCTCCGCCTCTTTCTATCGGCATGCCACTCGACGAAATTCCAGCTGCTGACCAGCATGCATGCTAAAACCTATGGCCGATCATGTGGTGGGAGCTACACACAGCAGCGAAAATATCACGTCGTACCCTTGTTGTTAGTCTGCTGGCACTTGGCAGCGCATCTGATGAGGGTTTCGCTTGGTCAGCAGCCGCCGCCGCCGTCATCAACGTATGGTCCGTGGAATGCATCCGATGACTTAAATGAACAACGTAAGGCTGCTGCTGCTGCGAGGACCCCCCTTGAGCTCAGTTCGTTACAAGCCCTTGTTACTAAATGTAGACGGGCTTCCGAACATCTGGCAACCATTCCTTATTATAAACCCACGTCTCGCCCGCAGATAAGGCCCTACTACGCTTTATTTTCAGCGGCAATACAAGCTTTTGGAGTAAGCCCGCAGTGGCCATCCGGATAGGCTTTGGGACCGCCCCCTGGCGCTGCGTCAACCGCTGCCAGACACAGTATTTTCCTACCCTGGCGGATTGCGCTCCCGACTGTACATCCCAGGTGTACTGTACCGCGACAGGTACGCCTAAAGGGGACGGCGTAGCTGCTGCACACCAGTAGATTTGTGGTATCAAAATACATGTTTGCATCAACACAATGGAAGGAAGCGATATGCAACAGCCAACAGGCTGGATACTGTGGCTCGTCTCGCATGGCTGGGACCAACAGCAGCACCCGCACCACTGTACTTAAACAAATCTTCAATTGGCAGCGGCATCACCCATAGGGGCGGGTTTCGAGGAGGACACCACTCTTGCAGCTCATCACGACATCCGCCGCTTCGAGAATTATAACTGGCAATATTCTCTCTCCCTTATGCTGGTCATTGTTTAGCGTCTTTTTGCAATGAGCGGCACTGCTGGTCAATGCCCGCGTCCCCCGCTCCTCCAAGTAATGTTTTCCGTACAGCTGGTTTGGCGTTGCCACTGGACCGCCGGGATGCTAGTCGAGGCATCTATCGGCCATTAACTTCAAATCCAGAAACGCTAGTTTGCTTTTAACTGTCGTTTTGCCCTTACAAGTCAGGTTGGATGCCACCTGCGCGTATCTGGAGGACGGCAGCAGACGGGTTAGCTAGCATAGCTGTTATACCACGACTTCAGAAAAGTACCGATCGGCGGATACAGATGCCGTGATGTGCCCTCCAGGATAGTACTATAGCATGGCATGTCTTCCATAAGGGTGATGTAACGTTTAGACGACAAAAAGTCTCAGACATTTATTGGTCCACCGCCACCTTGAATCCCATGTCCACAGGAACTGTTCCAGCGTATTCCTGGTCCATTCCTTGTTGCGCACTGAGCCTCTTCGACCAGACATCTGCGTACGATACGTTCCCAGCTCCAGCGCAACCCTGGTGCAGTACGTACCCACCCTGGTAGGTTGGGGTGATGAGAGGCCTGCCAGGTGGAAGGTATTATAGTTAGTGTAGTAGCTGGCCGCTGATGAAAAGGCCTAAAGATGCTGGCGGAACGCCTAATAAGGCCGTATTTGTAGACGATATGTGTGCCGTATCACCTACAGTTACTAAAATCACCCTTAATGAGCACTTGCAAGGCGGTAGCGGTGAGACTCAATCTATCCTCTAAAATCCGCAGTACGTAATGACTGGAAGTGCCACCAAGTGTATAATGTTTGCTGCGCTGAATTCAGCGCATGTAGGCAACTTCGAAGTTGCCTACATACATCAATCGTGGGTAACGATGCCCGACACCCAGAGCTTCCTTACATGCGCTTTATGCTTGGTTGATGACATTTCATTTCATGCCATTTATCCTTTTACTCAGCTAGGCATGTATTGTAACAACGGATGGGCTGCTGGTGGGTGTAGTATTCTGGGTATCACGGGATGGAGCATCCGCCGATCGGTTCTTTTCCTGCGATATCGCAGGAAAAGTATCACGTGTATCATGTGTTATCGATATCATGTGTTATCGATAACACGTGATACAACACTGGGCGCCAGCAACGAAGTACTCAGGTTGCGCAATACATTACATACATAGCATTTACCTTCGCTACCAACCATTTGCATACCACATACATACATACATACATACATATGTCTTAAGTACGTATGCAAAGCTGCAGATGGCAAATGCTTGACCTGTGCTTCTGCTTTTGCTTGCAGGGCGCCGCTTCGACGGCCCAGCATGTGTGACTTTAACACATATGCTGCCCGAGGGGCCACTCCACCGCTGGGCGCAAATGATCCATTCCTCGCCGTGTCCTGCAAGCGAGCTAACACGTCGCTCTACTACTTGAGTGGGACAACCTACAGAAATGATACAGCCAGACGTATTATGTACGACAAGGAGATCCAGCGAAGGAATGCCGTACGCAACGTTGTTACTCGCATGTAGGTCGAGGACCATGCTGTGTCACAGCATATGCCTTTCGTATCCTCGACCCAACCCCTCATCACGCATGCTGTTCTGTTCTCAGAACACCATCAGATTCAATTCGCGGTGTACGATGAGCCATTCAATCAAGTTGTTCTAACTGTCTGTCTTATATTTACTTCTTCGCTTTGCGACCCCCTGCCCTACCCCTATCTTGCTTGTAATTCCCCCGGCCTGCTGCTTGCGAGGTCTCCAGTTCAATCCGCCACATGGCTGCCTGGCACCATCCTTCCATCAACATCACGGAGCCTCCCACATTTCGTCTAGTCGTTGACCTGGCGTGCTTGCCTTTGGAAGAAATGTAAGCCCAAATGGGTTAGGTGCTCCCGTGATTGTACACAGCTGGTAGTGCGTTGCATGCAGATCGTAAGGCAAAATATGTACTTAAGTATGTATTTTCCCTCCTCCAGGGCCCAACCCTTAAACCCTTCCGCCAGTTGCCAGTACGATAGGTACACTGCATCTACCCTTCGCTAAGCTAAAAAAGCTTGGAAACCACACACCACATTAACGCAATACACGTCTGTACTTGCGTTCCGAACATACATACGTACAGGTATAGGTTAGGCACTACTGGTAGAGCACGCACCAATGCCCCCGGGGGATCCCGGGATCGAGACCTGTCAGGGTCGAAAAACCTTCCGACGGTGGAAGGTGAAGTACCCCTAGTCGATGGACGGTGGTGACCTGGGATAAAGTTGACTCGCGAGCTGACCAGGAATGGAGTTGAGCCGCTGTCGATCCGGCAGATTCCGTTGGATGCCGGTGGTGGGTGCGGAACCTGAGCGATCCACTGAGAAGTTGACTAGGGTGACTGGATGAGGGTGCCCCGAAATACCGGGGAAGGCAGGGTTTTGCCGGGTAGCGGCCACGGGTGAAGATATGCCCCACTGTCCCACACATCATACAGGTACTTTGAGGACGTCTACTTCAGCGATTCATTCACCACTAACGCTGTACTACCCGATCGAAGCGGCCCCAACGGCACAACGTTTGACCTGTAAGACGTGTTTCAAGTGATACTGTATGTGTAAAGTCAATAATTGCATTGATTTGTTTACAGCGATGGTCCGCATGATCCGCGACGTGCATGCCGCGCATTGTTATTATTGTGTTTGGATGCACAAAATAAGCAGCAGCTGTTGCAGCAGCAGCAGCTGCTCCCGTCCCGTCCCGTAGAACGGGCGTTCCCTGTTGTTAGTCTTTTAGTGACATACTGTTGGCTTCTCCGAATGTTACAGCTGCTGGGTTTATTGTAATTGTGTTACAATAATACCGACACCTCTGGTATACCGACACCTCTGAGCCCATATATCGACAAAGCTCGGATATGGACATTTGGTCATCTTCGCTTCAGCTTGCACCAAGCCAATTACTCCAACAGCCTCCAAAGCGTGCAATAAATACGCATGTCTGACCTTGGAACGAACGGCAACCACTACCATTTTTTTTGTCCATGTGTGTAGCTGAGCTTTGTGTGCGCATGGGGGGCTCAGGGCTCCCGGCGCGCGCGTGTAGGCTGTTGCGAGGCCAAACCAATGAAAATCTTGCGTATACGCGTTGCAGATGGAACAGCACGACATGGAACTGTGACCGTAGAGACGGGCGGTCCTTCAGTATGAGGGATTTTGGTTTCCCGGACAGGACAGCCAGGAACAACAGGACGAGCTACTTCTCTATGATGCTGGGTAAGCAATTGTTACAATACGTTGTAAACCAGACAGCGCTGGTTGTTATTTATCTGTGTCTGTTTATCTAGCATCTGTATTGTTTGCTTATTATTGCGGGGGAGGGAGGTGTGCCGAGCTGCTGGCTGGCTTTCTGCAATAATGAGGCAAAACGCGCGAAACCTGCTTAGGTCTGTTGTTGGCACGCACTGTTGTTTCCGTTGCGGGGTCGACGCATGGCCCTGCCGGGGGGTGACGCCACAGCACCCGGACGGGCACTGTGAGCACTAACTATAACATGTACTGTAGTAGCTGGCCGCTGAAAAGGCCTCTCGAGATGCTGGTGGTCGCGCTCCGCGTGTATTTGTAGAGCCGTACTGTGTACCAGCTACTACATGTACCCACCAAAATTGATTGGATTTCTCCTTATACACAGATCCATGCGGTGTGGGCCGAGCGATGGTGGACACACGGAACACGAGCCTCAACCCATTGATTGCCTTACGGAGCTGGGCTATGTTCACGTGTATTTTCGCGCCGTTTTCAGAGCTGCACGCGATGAGGTGCGCTGGCAGGTGCATGTGGTTTTGGCTAGCAACCATCACGGCCGCGTTCAGCAGTTTGCCAGCAGCGGCAACAGCAGCAGTCGGTCTGCTGCCAGCTTTCGGGTTACTGTGTTAGTGCCTGTTTAGTGAGAAACGTCCTTGAGGGATCCTGTCATCGGCAGGCTCCCCTTTATATCCTATATAGGGTTTCTTGCTTGTGATGACGGCCGATTGCTCAGATGGTATCTGGTATCTGGATGTGTTTAAGTAAGCTCTTGAGGTCTAGCAAAACACTCATTACTGTCCGTACTGCTAATCAGGATCGCCGGCTAACAAACCGTTGTGGAAAGGTGCATAAATGCCCCCGCCGCCCGCACACTATGCATGAGCACTCGCACCCGCACACAGTTTCCAAGCAGCCCTAGGGCCTCTTAGTAGAGGCCTTTACTAAGCCGTATTAATCTGCCTCCTCTGCCTGCCTTTATCATCAACACATCCATCGCACCCACGCACCTGTCGGCGGTGCACTGCTCTCCTCTACTTAACCTAGCTAACTAAATGACCAAATCCTCGCGCTCACCCACCCACGCACTCACGCCCGTACCTTAGCTCCCTTTGCACTTGTTTATGATGTCCTTGCTTGTATTCCCGCAGGTGGTCCCTCCGAGCTCTCATCGAGTGGAACAAAGCTCAATTCTCTTCAATGGACCCCATCAACTTCGGCAACCAGTCCTATCCGCGGGGCTGGCTACCCCCTTTACAAGATGACCCTGTGGCTGGCCGACCCTTCCTTCCGGACACGTTGAAGCGCCTTACCATCAAGCGCACGAACGACCACATCCACCGTACCTCGGAGTGGAGAGGCCGGCCGGTAGTCAGTGGCTTCCTGCCTTCAACTTGGGCGCTGCTGAGGAACTTGGAGCTCTTGTGCGTACATACATACATACATGGGTAACATGCATGCGTGGGACGTGTGTATGCTCGGCTGCTGCCTGCACGCAAAATCGACTGCCGTGTGGTGCCGCCGTGTATATACATGCTCGTTCTCCCAGGCAGAGGTAGTGTATGTCTATATGTTGTTGTGCCTGTTAACAGGGCATACACGGCGGCATCACACGGCAATATGTAGTAACGTTACTATATATTGAATACGCTGGCGGCATATGGCCCATGGGGATAGCCAAAGCAACGCTGGTGTATGTATACGATTACAACACATGGCACATATATATACATCTTGCGGCGATCTGGACCCTTCAACATCTGCCGCTTACGTGCTGCACCTCGAAATGAATTCATGTATGTTTACGTGCTGCACTTCATGTATGTTTATCATTCCGGCACTGTTCATGATTCATCCAACCTCTTGGTGGGTTCATCTTTTGCTTCATCAATTCATTTTCGTTCACATTCGTCCTGCTGCAGGGATCTGAGCGACGATATGGGTCAAGGTGCCATTGAAGGTCCCATTCCCAGCACTTGGCTCATGATGACGAAGCTGAGGACAATGTACGCACGCGACGATCACCGTCAGTAAAATTTCCGATGGCCTATTTAGGCCACATCCTCGTATGACAGATAGGGACCGTCGCTGTGACAAGACTGTATATAAACGCACATATACACACCTCTCTTTACATCTCTGTGGGTCATTACGCACGTTATAACGAAACCAAGGCGAGGTGTAACACACATACATACATGGCTGCCGCAAATCCTAGTTGTTTGATTGTATAATGCCCCCAAACATGCACTGTTGTATGTTAGTGGGGGGTTTAAACTGTCATAAAGAGAAGGTTAAACCTTCCCTAAACGCTTAGCATCGCTTGGTGTTAAGCGCTAGCTACTCTGTGTGTATGTGTGTATGTATGTATATATGTGTGTGTGTGTTTTACACCTGGAGTTGCGTTACTCTCCGAAGGTGTAGTAACGGGCCGACACGAGCGGGGGGCCCAAAGCAAGGCCAAGCAGCTGAAGGCTGTCCGAGATAGATGACATAGAAAACGCAGAAAGACTATGCTCCTATACCAGTTACTTGTTAAGTACTTGTTACGGCCTGTTAGTCCCCGTATGGCAAGCAGGTAGGCTGGTTGAACACCGTCATCATCATGCTTCTGTTGAAACATAATAATGATTGATTCTCAATTCCTTGATGTTTTTATCTCCCCTTCGGCCCTGGCACCCGTTCCACTCATCAGCAATATGACAGGTCAACCTAACTTCTGCAAGGATTGGCACAGGTGCGTGACTGACACGGGGGCACAGAAGATCAAGGGGGGACCTGGCTTTCCATTTGCATTGCCAACCTCAGGTTGCCGAGTGGTGCTGCTGTGGAACCGTGCGTACCGCTGCCACCGACTTGGTTGCTGCTGTTTACATTGACATGCATGATGCGTCCTGTTTTCGTTGAACTTCAACTATTTTTCCGTAGCCACGGACGCAGTTTTTGCTTAGGGTTTAGCTGTGCGCGGCCGATTTAAAGCATTAGCGCAAGACTTTCATGGGCGACACATGTACCGTAACCCCTATGAACATAACAAATATTGCTCTACGATACATTTACCAACTTGCATGCTAGATGCGGAGCAATGTACGGAAAATGCCGGTGCAAGGTTGTTTCCATGCATAGCATGCCTAACCAGGGACGTAATTCCGTTGCGAATAATTCATTTGTCGACGTGTCGGCCTTCCGTGTACGGCAGGATTGTGTCGTACCAGATCCAATCGTTTGTCCTCCAGACTCCGTACGGTGCGGTGTGGGGCCTTCGGAGGCGCTACTATGGGTCTATCGACAAGAATAACAAAGCTTTAGTGAAGAACATCACGATCTTCGATATGGATGGCATTGGCTGGCAATGGTTCGATAAGAGTACCGGTGAAGGTGAGTTATCACGGAGTCCAGTGCAATCGGGATCTTGTTGTTGTTACATGGTGGTACATCTTGTTATTTGCTAATCCCGTTTCAAGCCTCAGTTCCACACTGGTTTTATCCGATTAATCGGATAGTTTCATTATTGGAGGTAGCCATGCGCCTGCTGCTGATCATTTTTTGCTTTACTTATTACAGCGGCGATAAAGCAAAAGAAGCAGCCCGAAAAGAAAGAATTTCAGGCTGCTGCTCTACGAATGTTCCTGTTTTTTACCTATTAACCGTAAAGCCTTGATGCTGCTTTTTATTAACTCAGTGTTCCTCGTCTTGAAGGCCTTGCCACGGTTCTATTCTTCTCCTGCCTGCCTGAATGTGCGTGCAGCTGGTTACACCACCGTGATTGCGCCGGACAGCAAGTGCTGCTGGGACACCTTCAGCGACCAGTTCGCAGCGCGCAACTACACCATCACGGGCCCCTCGGGGACAACAGGACCATGGGATTACTACGGGCTGAGATACGAGCGGGACGAGCTGTGCGAGAAGTCACCGCCGTACATGCCCAGGGCGACGGGCCCCAGGCCGCCAATGCCGCCGGCTGCACCGAAACCACCAGACGCCCCAAATGCGCCACCAACCACTTCAGGTATATCAGCACGGAATTACACTCCAGGCCGCCCTCCAAACTTTCCACCCCTGTCAGCAATGGCACCATGGAGACCTGACGCTCCGCCTCAACCAATGAAGCCACCAAGCTTTCCAGGGAAATGGTTCGGTGCATGGGTGTGGGCGCCAACTCTTCCACCGCGACCACCACCTCCTCCGTCGCCCCCACGTCCTCCACCATTACCACCTTCTCCATTACCTCCCTCTCCAAGCCCACCCTCTCCGCCCCCACCCTCCCCAGCTCCGCCCTCTCCACGGCCCCCATCTCCACCACCCCCTTCCCCCGTACCCCCCTCCCCCCTGCCACCTTA